TGGTGGGGCGTGCGCAGCTCGGTGATATGCGCAGCTCGCTGATAAGATACGTTATTCCTGAATGATTTCCCAATTTGGCTATCCGGTCACGACTCAATGACATGCTGTGTAATGTGATTCATGGAAAGACCGTTTTGGGATATCACAACCCCAATGGCGTTCTCATTATTGACACCTTTTCAGCCACTTGCATGCTTAAGAGTCTCGAAGGGGGTTTGCCCTCGGACTCTTCCAAGCTCAGCACCTAGGACAGACAAGGAACGGTGTACAACATGCCAGTAGTACATTTTCCCGATGTTGTGCCAGTCACATTTTTAAGAGACGAAATATTGGGTGACAAGTGGTGTTACTCCAGCCACTCAACGTTTTCTTCCGTAGGTATTTACGCTTTGTGCTTCGTGCTGTGGTTATGTATTACATGTTCCTTATTTCGGCACCTTGGTAGGTATTACTTTCCCCGGAGTAGAGGAAAGCTCTTCTCTAAGTACCTAAGATGAATCGAACAAACCCCATATGTTTTCCTTGCCGGAATCACTCGTCCCCGGCGCCTCGGCTATGACAAAGATGCGAGAGTCACTATTCGAGCCGCAAATAACCGTCCAATTCCCCGGCCGGCAGCCTCCTCTTCTTCACCGACAAACGCTGTTTTCTGTTTTTTTTTTTTTTTGCGCGGGGGCCAGCACAGAGGACGCCGCGGAAGAGAGGTTGGAGCTGATACCAGTTCTTTTAAGCCCCTTTCTTTACTGAAGCACGGCTCCGGTTTATTGGAGAGCACGACGGGATTCAGTTTTAAGAACAGAAGGAAAATACAACATCGGGTCATGAATAATTAGATCTCAACTTCGACAAACGTTTCGCTCAACGGTATCGAGTCCTTCATCGGGGGCAACTATACATTTTCACCCGTCCCCTCACCCCAGCTCTGCTTTAGAGGGTTATGTATTTCCTACTGGTATGAGTGATATAAATAAGGGAGGATATTTGGCGAAGAAGGCCGACCAAGAGAAAGGAGCAAGAAAGCAACGGGGGGTTGATCAAGCAGCGAGATAGAGATCAACCAGATGGCTAGTGGCAATTACTTCAATCCTAAATACTAGAAAGAATCCGCAAACTATTCTCTAGGTTAACCCAGGCACGTATGGTATATCCTCCTCATTCCCACCCGCGCACTCCCTTCCATTCCATATTGGTCAGTCTAGGTACTTTTGCCCCTCGTCTTCCCCATCCATGCCAAATTTGCCCAGACAAAAAGTGCAGGAAGCCATCGCTTGCTCCAACGCCGATGCCTCCCAAAGGTTCAGAAAAAGCCAAAGCCAACCCAGAACGGGTTCTCGCAAAACGAGGAAAGGAAAAACAAAACAAACCATGATCATCATCAACCCCCCGTCACTCAGATCATCGATGGATCGATGGATCGATCCATCTATCCCCATCAATAAACACTCCCCCTCAAACTCCGATCCTCCCTCTCCTCCCTCGCCAACACCTCATCCGCTTCATCCGTCATCTCCCGCGTCACTTCATCCGACCCACTATCATCATCATCATGTCCATGCTCACACACCGCCAGCTTGTTCACCGCCACACTACTACTACTATTGCCGCGCGTGGTGGTGACAGCACCCTTCTTCTCGCCTTCACAGTCCGCCTCGTGCTCGCCATCACTGCTGTGGTGGTCACCGAGCCGGTTGGCACGCGTACCGCGGCCCATGCGAGATTGTTCGCGTTCATGGCGGTGTTGTTTGTGGTGGTGGTAGTGGGTGTGGTTGTGGGGACGGTGGTGTAAGGGGATGGCAGACGTGGGGATGCCGAGGCCGGCCTTTTGTTTCTGTTGGGTTGGGGTGGCAGTGGGAGAGTCGCTGCTGGGTTCCTCGTGGTCGCTGACAGGGTCGGCTGAGACGGTGATGTTGGTCGTGATGTTGATGGTGGTGGAAGCAGTGGTGCTAGTGGAGGACGGGGTCAGCGGTGCTGCGCCGGGACGATGGCGATCGCTGTAGTCCCCTTCGGAGTCATCGGCGTCGTCGCTGCCCGCACTGTCGTGGCCGCTGTAGCTGCCGCCGAAATCGCGGCCTACGTGAAGCGGGACGGGCTGGAGCGGGCGCGGCGGGACGTTGGGGCTTTTGATCCGGGACCGGAGACGGTCGTCGACGGAGATGTACGACGGTGTGCCGTCTGGGCTGGATACCACCTCGTCGCGCGCCTTGGTCACGTCGATTTGCGGTCCTCCTGTGACATTGTCGGGCTCATAATCCCCATCTCCGTCTGTGGTCCCGGTCAGGAACCGCTTGGCAGCCGGCCGGCGGCTGACGAGGAGCGTATGGCTATTGCCCGTTCCGTTGAAGGAAGGGTTGACGATGCCGTGTGTAGACCCGGGCGTGCCTGCGTGGCTGCTGTGCGTGGGCGTACCACTATCACTGTCGCTGACTGCAGGAACGCTCGCCGTAGGGCTGGGCTCCTCGTTTACGGCAGCCAGACCGACAGCGTGATTAGAGATGAGACTGTCGCTCTTGACGAGGTCAGCCAGCGTCTGGCGGATCTTGAAACTCTTGTCATGGTCACAGCCGTTGGGACAGCCTCCCCAGCGACGCCGGACCTCGAATGTACCGGCGCGTGCCAGCGTGAAAGCGTCCTTACTTTTGCCGTGCTCCTTGCCCGCCTTGCCGTTCTGGGCGTCCTGGGCGTCCGGCACAGGTTTGCCGGCCTTCTCAGCTTGCTCCAAAGCACGCTCCCGCTTGAGCCCCGACCATGTCCGCAGATTGTTTTCTAGTATGTACTTGCCGCTGTCATCGTTGCGGCGCATGATGAGGAATTCACAATGGTTCACGTTGCGTAGGTCCTCGAAGTGCTCGACGCTGAAGTGGTACCACTTCATGAGGAAGACGCGGGACATGAGGCCGTGGGTAACTAGAGCACCGCGAAGTCAGTCACCGCATTAACTTAGGAACTTGGTAGATAGCCACTCACCCAGCACGCAAACACTTGCAAAGTCATCCTCCCCAAACTGGCGCCACAAGCTCTCGTTGAACCCACTCACACGGTCATAGGCATCCGCCGCACTCTCACCATTAGGAATACGGTAAAAGAAGTGCCCATAATCAGCACGCTCCTGCCACATGCGCTCCATCTCAGCACTACACGGCTGGAAGTTGCCAAAGTCCTGCTCGCGCAGCCGCGGCTCCTCGTACACCTTGATATTGTCCCGTTGGAACGGGCTCGTGGCGGGCTCGTCACTGGTCAACGTGGCCAGGATGCCCTCGGTGGTCTCACGCGTGCGGCGGTAGGGGCTTGTGAAGAAATGTAGGGTGTCGTCCTCGCGCAGCAACGCCCGCAGGCGCCGGCCCGCGTCGTACGCCTGCTGCCATCCGTCTTGTGTAAGCTTGACCCGGTGGTCTGGGATGGTCTGGTGGATATCGCGGTTTTCTACGAGACGGGGAAAGAGAGAACGCAGTTGGTTAGCGCAAAGCTCGCAGTTAGTTGCTGTTTGTCGTCTACTTAGAAGCTGGGTCTTGAGAACATACTGTTGCCCTCTGATTGGGCGTGGCGCACCAAGATAATGAGCCTTGGTCTCCCCATGGCGGATAGATTGTTGCGAGTACAATGTGATTTGGTACTAGGTCTGTCGAGCAAATTCTCGATGGTCGTGTGCTCGGCTCAACAAAGGAATAAACCGGGTGCAAAGGGGTCAGCCCTCGAGTTTCAAGGGAGCCGATCGCGGGGCACTGGCGCAGCGGCAACAAAGGGTAGCAGGGAGGGTCTTCAATGTGGGATCAAAGCAAAGCAAATCCCTATCGGGGCAATTCGGAATGGATTCAGAGCTCGTGAGGTTTTTACAAGGTAAAGTGCAAAACAGACATGCTTGGGAAGCAAAAGAGCGGGAAAGAGATGGTTGAGATATGCGATCCTATTTCAGAGCCTGGTCGTAACAGTGTCGACTCATCCAGAGTACCGGGTCAGCTGCCCCAACGCCTGTGTCTGGTCTTTGCCTCTTTGCCTGCGGTGTGTGTTCCTGGGACACCGTTATTACCAATGCCCAGGCCGAGAGAGGCGTTCCAAGATTGGATGGGTTGGGCGTTGGTGCCCCGCGGCCCCACCAAACAAGGCAGGCTCGCAGGGCTCGGCTAGGCTAGCGGGGCCCATGCAGCGTTCTGGCGCTCGGGTTTGGGCGGTGGAGGGCGCTTCTGGCGTTTGAGAGCAGCCGGGGGCACAGTGGGAGAGTGGCACAGTGCGCTTGTAACCAACTGGATGCACCTGGGCGGCGCTTCGCCGCACGAAGCTGCAACTGCCATTGCATGAGATAACAAGCTGAGCTGCGACAAATGCTGGAAGGGACGATCGCCTTCCACATTTCCCAGTTCTCGAGTTCGAAGCAAGAAAAAAAAAAAGAGACCGGCGTCGAGTACCGGGCTGCAGGGGGGGTTCAGGCCTTTGCGGCTGCTTGGGCTGGAACTGGCCGGGTGCCTGGCACTAGGCGAATTCGTCATATGACCTGCAAGGTCCCAACTGATTGCCGCGGGGCTTGTTCGGCAGTGACCGCTTGTCGCTTGCGCCATCTCGGAAGCGCCCTGCGCCATCATTGGCTGCCCTTTGAGACGACAATCACGGCGGCTGCAATGGGCGCGACTAAATTTTGAATGGCATTGGTTGTTGGCAAGCAGTTGTTTGCCTCGAGTGGACATCAAGTTGAGATGGAGGGTAAACAAAACGAGGCCGAAGCTTAAGGTAATTGTGGCTAGTGGGTGTGGCTGAGAGAGCATGGATAAAAATCTGAAGCTGTCATGCCAAGGCGAACGATTGCCTTCGAAAGGCGGCCCCACTTAAATTTTACTTTCGAGGCTGCCAAGCTTGCCTGTCGCGTTTCCCAACACCACACGACCGCATCGCAACATTCATCACCAAGGCTACCAACCAACCCACAAAGCCGCTCTTTTCCATCGCATCAACACCCGCCAAAATAAAACAAAAAATATCCATAAACCCACCCAACCCCCAAAAACAACACCAACCCAGCCACAACAATGTCCACCCGGCCGCCCCCCGCCAAAAAACGACGCGCCCTCTCCCCCCACGCCTCCCACGCAACCCACCTCGCAGCGCTCTTCTCCAACCCAACGCAAACCATCTCCCTCCCCCCGCCCGTCGCCTCCGACGGTTCCTCAACCCGCAAACCACTGCCCCCGCCCCCCGAAATCGTCACCAACGTCCAGGGCTCCTCGGCGGGAGCCGGCTCGGGGGAGTTCCACGTGTACAAGGCGGCGCGGCGGCGGGAGAACGAGCGATTGCGGCGCATGGATGAGGATTTGGCGAAGGAGAAGGAGGCGGATGAGTTTGAGAGAAGGCGGGCGGAGAAGGCGAGGGAGGATGAGGAAAGGACAAGGAGGAATCGGGAGAAGAGGGATAAGAAGAAGAGGAGGGGGAAAGGGGGGAATGGGGGTGGTAAAGTGGGGGATAAGGGTGGAGTGAAGGGTGATGGGGAGGATAAAGGGGAGGAGAATAAGACGGAGGTGGCGTCGGAAGGGAAAGGGGAGGATGATTTTGATACCAATGGGGGGAAGGAAAATAAGGGTAAGGAGGGGTCCGCGGCGGAAGAGAAGAAAGAAAGTGTGCCTGCTGCTCCTGCGGATGGCCCGGGGCTGGTTATCCACGACGACGACTAAGTGGGCTACGAGTATCACTGTACACATACATCAACTTTAGAACGGCGTTTTGGGGGAACAATTACAGCCAGCCGGCCAACTTTTTTAATCTACCAGACAGACATGGCCCTTATGTTCTTTCTTGATTTGTTTCTTTTTTATTCTTGACTTTGACAGGGGTATTATGGCAGCCGTTATACCACCAGGGCCGAGTCGCCGCCCTACTCGTCCGTCCCACCACCGCCGACGCCGACACCCGGTTGTAGCTTCTTAGCGCTGCAGATGTCGTCCACCCTGAGCAAAAGACACGCAGACTGTACGAGAACAAAGTTAGCATACTGTCCATTATCAACAAACCACCGGTTCTCCGCATCAAAACATACCTCAATCGCCGTCTTCATGCTCTGCACCTTGATCGCCTCCGGCTCCCAGACACCGTAGTCCTTCATGTCAACCAGCGCACCTGAGTCGCCATTGACACCCCACGAGCTCTTGCCCTCGGCATGCTTGGCGCGCAAGTCCGTCAACACACGGACGGGGCTCTTGCCGGCGTTCTGGATCAAGGTACGCGGGATCACCTCGAGGGCCTCCGCAACAGCCTTGTATGGCCACTGCTGCACGCCCTCGATGCTGCGCGCCAATTGTGCTAGCCGCACCGACACCGCCATCTCGGTCGCGCCACCGCCGGGCGACAGGCGCGGGTGGAACATGACGTTCCGCGCCACGCCCATCGCGTCTTGCAGGTTACGCTCAATCTCGTTGAGGACGTCCTTGGACGGCCCACGGAGGAGCACCGTGCATGCCTTGGGCGACTTGCACTTGGTCAGGAAGGTGAAGTACTCGTCGCCAATCTTCTCGATATCGAACAACCCGCATTCAGTGCCCACGTCCGACTCCTGCAGGTCCTCTACCCGGTTCACGATGGTCGCACCGGTTGCCCGCGCTATCCGGTTGTTGTCTGTCTTGCGTACCCGCCTCAACGCCGTCACGTTGGCCTTCATCAGGTAATGTTGTGCGAGATCTGGGACATGTGAAGTTAGTAATCAGTGAGAATTCCATCCGCTCCATTGGACGAGACGTACCCGAAACACCCTTTTCTGTGATAACGAGATCCGGCTTCACAGCCAGAATGTGCTCGCACATGGACTTCACTTGCTCCTCCTCAATCTGCAGAATTCGGTTCCAGTCCTCCTCCTTCGTGACCTCAATGTTGGTCTGCGACTCGCCCTTCTTGTACTCAAGCGGGCAATCCAGCAGCACGATACGCGGGTTCTCGATGGTGCGGCGCATCTTCGGGTGAGTGATATCCTTGTTGAGCATGACGCCGTCCAACACGCGGCTGTCCTCGATCTCGCCGCCAGGGACCTTCTCAACGCGGGCGTACCGCTTGATGTCGACCTCTCGCTTGCCATTGCCCACCTCCCACGTCACAGTACGCACCGCCTGGAGCGCCAGGCTGCACATGAGGTCGGACCACCGCGAGACAAACTTGGTGCCGATCGAGGAAGAGATGAGCTGCTGCATCGCCTTGTCGTCGTTGATGTCAATCGGGAGCGAGATGTCTTCGATGATCTGCAGCGCGTCCTTGAGCGCCCGCTTGAAGGCCGCAATGATGACCACCGGGTGGATGTTACGCTCGAGCTGGGGCAGCGCCTGCGCCAGGATTTCGCCCGCTATCATATTCCACAACAGTCAGTACTCCATACCCAACCACATCGCACATATCCACATGCCCGCCCCCATAGCCAAACCACCATGTACAACCCCATCTTGATGAAAATGAGTACGCACCTAAAATAATAACCGTCGTTGTCCCATCGCCCACCTCCTCGTCTTGTGTCCGGCTCAGCTCGATCATGCTCTTAGCCGCGGGGTGCGACACCTCGATCTCGCGGAGGATGGCGTGCCCGTCGTTGGTCAGCACGATACCGCCCATGGGGTCAAGCAGCATCTTCAGCATGGCCTTGGGGCCGAGGCAGGACCGGATGATATCGGCGACACTGTCAACATAGCAGCGGTAAGTACACGAATATGTTTAAAGGGGGGTATCTGTTCCCGCGTGAAGTGTTTCGATTCTCTGGGCGGATAGCACCGCGTCCGTGGTGTATCGGTGAAGGAAAGGGGGGGCTATGATCAAGAAGGCGGGGCAGTGTGTATTCGGGGACGACGAAGCGTACGTTTTGGCGGCGGCGATGTTAGACAGCTGGGCTTTCCTGCCCGTCTGCCTTTCACCGCTATTGGTGTCTAGAAGAAAATATAACGCGTCAGCCAGGTGTGCCCATCTCCATGCGGAACAAACTCCCAAAATAGCGGGGGGACGAAGCCAAACATACTCATCACCAAGACAGGGGCCTGCATCTTGCCTGTCGTTGGGTTTTCTTCTTTGGCCTAGGTGGGTGGTGCTGGGGAGGACTTCGTGTTTAAATGGGAGTTCCCAAAGAAACCTAGGAGACGGATAGGGAGAAAGGGATGAAGTAGGTGACGTGGGAAGGCACCGAAATTATTTTATGGGGTTGATGCTAAGTAGCGGCGTTCTGGTGTTGTCGGCCCAGGCAGCTCGCTCCAAAGGTGGGATGCCCCGAAAAGTTCAGAGGCCAGCCCCACCCAAGCTCTCCCCCCACCAGGGCCTGATGTGGGGCAGCGGATCAACACAACTTCCGCACTCAGGACCATCAACAAGACGGGGCCTTCAAGGACGAGACAGAACCGTTCTTGCGTTCGAGGAGTTGAAACATGTACGGCAATAGTGATAGCTCGTCTACCTAAACGTGAAGTATTTTATCTATTCCGGCAAAAAATCGCCAAGTCTAGACGAGTTAGTTACGCTAAATTAAACAAGTAATTAATCAAACACATCTACAGAGTATCTGAAGCACAGACAAATATCTTCAAGTGAGATTACATCAGTCACGACATCCAAATCTCAGGGCATGCTCAAGCGGACTCCAGCAATGATCAAACTCCATTCTCATAGCTCTTGCTTCATACATGATCTTCACCACACCCCTTTTCCCACACCGGTAACAACAGCCAACGCTCGCTAATAACAACCAACCCACACTCGTAACGCTCCACCGCGAAGCAAAACTCACTCGCGCCCCATGGTATCAACAACACAGCCGCAAACTCGAACTTCCCCTTCTCACTCGACTCCAAAACACTCCCAACTCTCAATTCAACATCCACACCAAACATAAGACATCAGGTCTCAATCCACTGGTATCTACCATCTCGAAGTACCCATATATGCCAAAAGGTAAGAAAAAAATGTACGCGAAGGAAGGACAGAATTTGGTAAGAAGCCGGTTGTCCAGGTCGACCCTCGGACGTGAGGAATCCCGAGAAAATTAGGTGACGGTAACATTTTCTCCATAAACGCCGACAGAAACTGACAATAGAAAATAGCAAAACGATGGATGCTGTTGCTACAAGACTCAACACCGCATCAACTCGATGGCTGATTAGAAATTCTGCGAAATACCCGCCGTCTGCTGCGGGTAATGAGATGGGCTCTCGATCCGGGTGTTCCGTCGAGCCGTCACATCCCGAATCACAGGCGATCCACCGGCGGCAGTTGGCTGTCCGTCGTATGCGTTATCCGAGTAAGGGTTCCCGCCGGCGTACTGGTCGTAGTACTGGTTACCCCCGGCAGGGTTGCTCCCACCATAGGCAACGCCAATGGGTCCATCGCCAGACCCATCAGATCGCGCGGCGGCGCTGTACGAAGACGAAGCGTTGGAAGGTCCGCGACGCACGTCGGCGCGGTTGTTCGCAGCTGATGGCCCCATGGCGCCGAGGATCTCGCCTTCCGGCGACGGCGGCCCCTCGTTCATGAGTGGCTCGGCAGAGCGCGCGTCGACGGTGCCGCGGGTGGGCGACGCGGGGTCAGAGTAGGCGGCAGCACCGCCCGACATGGTCGTGGACGCCTTCCGTCCGGTCGAGCCGCCGAACGCGGTGGAGCCCCAGCCGCGGTATCCGGACGAGTTGTCCTCACGCATCTCGAAAGTGGAGTCAGCGACGGCGGGGATCGTGGGGTCCGAGTTGGGGTTGTAGCCATAGTCTTCGACCTCCTTGCGCCTTTCCTCCTCCGCGTGCCGTTGCTTCCTCTTGCGCCACAAGAAAATACCGACCAAGACCAGAATAGCGACAGCGGCAATGGGGACCACGACGGCTACGGCGATTGTCCCGTTGTTCCCCAGACCACTGCTCGGGCTGCCGCTCGGGTCGATAGCAGAGCCGGTAGTTGAGGTAGGTGGTACCGAACTTTGCCCAGTGGGCGTCGGGCTCTGCGAGGTAACCGTGGTATAAACGGTGCTAGTTGGCGGGCCATTCTGTGATGAGGAGGATCTTGATGTTGGTGGGGGTTTGGTGCTGCTCGATGATGGGGGTGGGGAAGAAGAGCTGGTTGAAGACGAAGACGAGGAGCTACTCGTTGAAGTGGGCGGCGGCGGCGGCTCGGAGGTTGATGTTTCACTCGAGGTGCTCGTTGGTGGCGGAGGTGGAGTCTGGGAGGTTGTTGTGGTTGATTCGGGTGGCGGCGGTGTTTGCGACGTTGTGGTAGATTCGGGGGGAGGAGGCGTCTCCGTGGTACTCTGGGGAGGGGGTGACTCAGTTGACGTTGGCGGTGCCCCCGCCTCGCCGTCCGAACCCGTGTTGTTGTTCATTGCAAAGTATTGGCGTTTTAGCCGGGGAAAAGTCCTGTAGAGCGGTGGTGACATGTTAGTCGAGATGTGTGCGACATGGAATCAACAGACGACGCATAGCAATGCATCCGCGGGACGGACAATCAATGCAGCTATATTGGCTTTGCAGATCGACACTCGTGGACCTGCAGCACGAGGGGCCGCTTGTGCAGCTACTGCGGGCCGCTTCAGACTGAGACAAAGCGTCTCAAAAACCACGGACCTTTAGGCGATGGCAAGGCCAACGATGACGGCGAAAGGCGACAGCGCTCGACGCTAGAACGGCCGGCCTGAAGGGTGACGGCGAGGGTTGGGTATGGGCGCAGAGAAGGCGGTTGTTTGAGGAACAGAGCTGCGAGCGTGAATGGATTGGCTGAGAAGCATACGCAAGCAGCTTGGCGTCTGGTCGCTTGAGCCGGTTGTCTGCGCGACTGGCGCCGCTAGGCGGACAGAACAAGCGCGCGCTCGTGAGAGGCAAAAACCTTACTTAGCGCGTAAACGGGCGCGTGGAGACAGAGCCACTACGTGAGCGCTCCAAATGTGGTTGTCGTCGATGAATAACTTTGCGGACTCGTCTCAAAGTCGAAAGCAAGAGGGAAAAGATGACAAAAGAAAGGTAGGAAATTGAGCCCGGCTTTCTATTTCCGCCCATGGGAGCAGCAAAGAACAGGGTGCGCTTGGACGAGGGCGTTGCAAAGAAGTTTAGCGTGGTGAGCACGAAAGCGGGCCACACTGCTGCAGGGGTTTCTGGGCTGTGTGCCGTGAAGCAGCCAGACAGACAGCGAAATGCTCGCAGGGCAAATCCGGCAAAGCGGGCAAGGACGACCTGCGGGCGATGATGGCCGGCCACACACCAATCGTCTGGCTGTCCCACCTCACTCAAGCCCCATCCATGCCCAAAATTCGTTACGTTGCTTGTGGCGGGACCTGACGTGCGCTGTTGATCAGTTCCTCGACGTCTTGCCCTCGTGTTCCAGCAGCTGATCGGCAACTTTCTCTTTTCAAGATGCTGCCGTTGTTCGCAAACAAAAAGACCCTGCCAAAAAAAAAAGTCCCCTCACAGCGAATCGGGGTTCGGACGGGGCGGGTGGCCCCTGTGCCAATTCGGTTTGGCTCAGTGGGTCTTGAATTCAATATCGGGACAAAAAAGGACGAGAGACCCGAGTTTCCACGGCGGATAAGGGTCAGACAATTGTTCGAGCTCAGGGTTAACTTTCGCGTAGAAGCTGGAGAGAAGAAAAAGACATTTCGTCCTCCCAACCATCAAAGCTGACAGTGACGCTGAGTAACCACACAACTTCCAGCCGCAAACTGAACCCAATCGTCCAAACAGTTCAACCAAAAGTCCATCCGATCATTTTCTTTAAAAAAATCCTGTCCGCTTGGATTCCGAATGCGGGGCAAAGAGCATCCAACAAGGGTGTTCCTTTCACTTCTGCTCGATACCGTTGGATTTCTCAACCTTGGCCGTTACCAAAAGGATGAAAAACTGGGAAACCGTTTCGTTTTGTCGTATTGTCCACCCGTTGCTGTCACTCACTTCGGTGCTGGCCGAGAGAGGCCGCCAAGGATACCTCATGAATAAGCCGAGCAAGCCGGCGGCCCGATCCTTGGCAACAAAGGACACATAATTCCTAACCGAATAATCAGTAACAAACAGGGCGACAACCACAGACAACAAAACAAACCCAGTGCTTCCCAGCTTCCCAGCCAAGCAAGCTGGGGAGGACGGGGGGCAAGATCTCGTGTTCAAGCGCACAAGTGGAGGCTGGTCCCAAGTGCAACCTTAACAGGGGAGCCACGGAGCATGTCGTTGCGTTGCGGCTGTGCCACACTGCACCCAGCCATCGTCCCATCCCGTCTTTCTTGGCAGGCATTGCGATGTCACTCATCGAGGAGGCCAACGACTTCGCCAGTGTCACCACATTGGCTGAGGATATGCCGTAGTTACGTGTCGTGTAGTGAAGAAGGCAAGAGCCAATGCCATCTTTAGGGCTGGTGTTGCTAAAATTGTAGTGTAACAACGTGTGCTTAATATGGCTTTTATCTACGCCGTAAACGCTAGCTATTTGGTGATGTACTTACGAAAAGAAAATATTGCAAAGAGAGACTACTCCATTGTTGAGTCCCACCAAGATTTATCTATTTTTCAAAATACTTGTCAATGAAACTAGAAACATATCAAGTGTATTGAACGCTATATTTTATATCTTCCTTTTCCTCCTCATTTCTTTCAACAGTTTTCATATTTTGCTTTCTCTTTGATGCCTTTTTGTTCTTATTTTTCTGTTTCTCGTGTTTCTTCCTTCTTTCGGTTTGTGTTCATGTATTTGTCCCTTTTCTCCTTTCCTGTCTGTCTCTCCCTCTCTCTTCAAGGTCCTTCAGTAGGTATACGCAAGCGAATCGAGAATATTACCGGTACACCCGGGAGTGTTTATCATTCTCCAGAGTCCAGAGTTGGTCTCGGGATAATATAACCACAACATCATACTCTTTATATCCCGCCAACTCTACCACGGTATCATGTGAGTTCTAGCTAACCCAACATCGACCAACTAGACACGTATCCCAAATTCTACCCAAACCATCAAAATCACCGTACATCACTCTCCACCCCCCCTACTTCAATCCAAACCCTTCACTCTCCTCCACCGCCCTCCACAACACATCCGTAAACCTCTCCTTCTCCCTCTCCATCTCCGTTTCACCCTCTCCCTCCCCAACCCCATCCAAACCTAGTCCTGATATTCCAGTGTTCACCCTCACCCGCCACAACCCCACCGAATTAAAACACGTCCTCGCCGTCGGAAACCGCCCACACTCCTCTCCCAAACAACTCACGCGAATCGCCAGGGAAGCCGCGCCCAGCGCCGGCACGCGGTCGCTGCCCGTGATGAACGCGAGTAAGCGCCGTTGCCGGGCTGGTGGTGCGGAGGCGAAGGCGGACCAGAAGAATTGGAGGGTTGGTTCTTCTTGTTCTTGTTGTTCGTTTGTTTTTGTTTTGGGTTTCTGATTTTGGGATTGGTGGGAGGATGAGGTTGACCAGCCTTCGTAGTGGGCCGCGGCGCGGAGGGCGTCGATGTCGAGGGGTCGCTGGTCTGAGCCGGCTGAACCGCGGACGAGGATCTCGATTTCCTCGGGGCGGAATAGAGACAGGGCCGAGGTGGAATGGTTGCTCCCAGAACTGGCACTGCCACTACTACCGCCACCGTTACCGACCGCGAAAGGTACGGTACTCGCACCACTCCCGCTGCCCCCCGCAACCCCCCCAGCACCATTAATGCTACTTCCACTCCCACAAACAGTATAAAACCCCCTCTTAAACGGCTCAAACTGCCTTGTAACAGACGTATCCAGCATATACCTCACATACGCATCGACATACTCTTTCCGGTTCGCATTCGTGACCGCCCTCCGTTCCCCGCCAGGGCACAGCGGCACCCTCTCGACGGGGGCCCCATAGCGCACAGTATCCACCGCGAAGTCCAGCCCAAACACCGCTTCGACGTCGTCCCCTTCGTACTCGAGGAGCTGGCGCAAACCACGGGCTAGACGGGGGCGGTACTCGGCAAGGTCATCGAGGGTGTAGGCCATTGGTTGACGGGGCTGGGAGAACACGGGGGGCGTGGCTGTGGCCGGGGAGATAGCCGCCGTGGTGTTGTTGGTGGTAATGGCGGTGGTGGGGAAGTAGGAGTTGGGAGTGTACGAGCCAGGGGTGGCGGTAATGGTTCCATTCGGGGTGGTGAGTGAAGGAGGGGAGAAGGACGAAGGAGAGTGGGAGTGGGTGGCCGAGGAGAGCGGAGCAGCGGCAAGGAGTTTGCGGAAGGCAAATGGGGGGAGGGCAACGTCGAGGATGGTGGAGTTGTAGATAGCCAAGCCAAGGACGACGCCAACGAGGAAGAACTGCTCGGATGGTTCGAGCGAGTTAGGGTTGAAGTAGCAGTAGTTGGAGTCTTCGTCGTAGAGGAACATGCCTAGAAGGAACAGTCAGGGTTAGGGTCGGTAATGATGATACAACGTTCATCCGACAGGGGCAACCATACCATGATCGGGATTAAACACCTCCCTCACCAACAACAAAAACCACTCCTTCCTCAACCCACCCGCATCCACCCCTTCCTCTCCCTTGAAAATAATCCTCAATCCTTTCTTGATCTCCTCACCACCACCCCCGATCACCTCGCTAACCGCCTTGAGACTATCCTCCACTAAACACTCCCGGCGGATATTCAGCACCAGAAACTGCTGCACCACCCGGTTGGTCATGATACTGTCGAAAAAAGCATCGCGCGCCTTGTTCTCCATTTGCCGACGGGCATCGTGCTCCAGGATTTGGATCTTGGCCCCAATGCTGAGCAGAAAGGGGTGTTGACAAAATGAGAAGCGGCCTTGTCTGCGCTCTGACGCTTCAAAATCACCCAACAGGTCGGAGTCGTCTAGGAGTGTCATGTAAAAGTCACTGGTCGGCAGGATCTGGCCCGGGGCTTGGACTAGCTCCCGGTCTTGGTTGTTACTATTGTTGATTGTGTTATTAGGCCCATCCCCATGATGATGATCCGTCATTGTGCCGCCACGGCGCACGTGGCTGGCATTGTTCGCGGCAAACAAAAAGGCCAGTACCTGCGCGGCGGCTTTGATCTGCCAGTCCTCTTGATAGACCACCTTCTTTTTCTTCTCCTGCTGTTTCTTGGCACGTTGCGAGGGGTTTGACGATGATGAGGATGGACCTAGTGCAGCGTGGAGAGCAGCCGGTGAGTGGCTGGGACCTAGATTGGGTATGAGACCGCCCATGTAGTCGATCTGGGTCTCCTGCTTCTTTTCACTCTGGCGAATCAACCGGTAGGCGAGAAAGCCAGAAACGAGGTCCTTGATTTGCACGAAGGCGTCCTTCGAGTACCGCGCAAACCAAACAACGAGGTGGTGGTGGCACTCCGCAGGGGTGTTGGAGAGGAGGCCGACGATGCGCTTTATGATGACAGAGTGCCGTCCCGAGACAGGCCCGGTTCCCCGCGGCGGGGCCGTCATTGTTGCCACGGGTGTGTATTTATCGCCGTAGGGTCGGTAGGAGGCGTGGAGCAAGGGGTTTTCTGCAACGATGAGAAGAAACCGGAGTTCCTGAGGGTCCGTCAACCGGCGCCCTGGACGTTTGAGAATCGTCTCCGACGCTTTGAGCAGCGCTTTTTGTGCATGCTCCTGGCCAATATGGATTTGGGCCTCGAGACGTTGAAAAGTTGCAGGCGACGCAGCAAGGCTTGCGTCTTCAGCCACCAACTTTTCATACACATCGGGCCACGACCGTGCCGCGTCAACAACTGCCTTATACCAGTCCTCCACCCCCGACCAGTCGATGTGCGGGCTCCGCAAGCTCACTATCGACCGACCCTGTGGGCTCCTGTTTGATGGTGTCCGGGCAGGATGTACCTTGTCATGGCCAGTCCACCAAAGGCCGTTCTCAGCAAAATCGCCTAGAAGTAGCAGTTTTGGATCCAGCTCCGGGACGGGATGATTTGTGCTCCGGGTTTCCCTGCGCGCGAGGGCATGTTCAGAAGGGCGGCGCGGTTTGGGAACAGGGCTGCTGTTGTGGGCCGGCGGTTGGCTCCTGGGGGTCAGGAACGACGAGTTTAGACACTCAAACGAGGTAAAGCACCGAATAATGTAGTCTTCCAACGGCCTGAATATCCTTTTGGCTCCATTATTCGGACAAGGTGCTGACGGGGGACGATTCTGTCCACCAGCTCCATGAGGCGATAAGTCCTGATGGAGGGGGGAACGCTTCTCTGAAGAGGTTGAATATGCTTTGGACGATGGAGTACCGGCCCAGCTAGGAGCGCGACGATGCGCACCCAGATGGCGCGGAGGACCGGGGCTCAGTCGTGGTTCGAAGTTAAGGGAGGCTTTGGGCCGCAGTGTTGTTGTACCACCTGGAGCTGGTGGTGTTGGAACCCTGATTGTGATGTGGTCTGGCGAGAGGAACGAGGATTTGGGTGGGGACTCATTCAAAGGAGTGGTTACACCCTCTGGATTCTTGAGAGCCGAGGTGAGAAATGAACGCAAACATTGCTCGATCAAGCTCTTGGTGTAACTGAGCGATATAGCCTTGTCTGTATCTTGCCGCATTAGCCATCACCACACAAACTTGCCTCCATCTCCCCTTTAAAAAAGGGTATTTTCCATACCTTTTGAACTTGCCTGCTCCTCTATGACCTCCCCAACCTCCTGCGCGCCGGGGCTCTCCCCCGGGCCCGCCTCTCGACTTCGAGGCTGCAAGTCGTTGACGGTTAGACAAATCGTGCACCGAAACATCTGCAACTCTCTCGGCCATCGCACCAACGACGCACACGTCATACACCGGCCCGTAGCGAAATCCCTGCTCCCCGCCGACGACCCGTTCCGATGGCCGCGCGATGCTGGTGCAGGTCCGCTGCCCTTACTCGCCCCAGCTCCAGCTGCCCCGGCGATTCCGCCCTCCATAGCAGAACCCGACTCGGAGGAATCGTCGAGATCGGCCATGGGATTGGGACTGCTACCCGGGCCCGTCTTCTTCTTTCTTCCCGAAAAAAGTGACGGGAACGGATGGCTCTGCGAACGACTATGTCCGGACCGTCCTCTAGTCTTAGACGATGTCTGGCGGCTTCGGGGGTGGAGCCCTTCGTCAGACGAGCTAGAGTCGCCCTGGAGCTGATGGTTTTGCATGGTGTCCCAGACATCGATTTCTGAGACTCGAGAGGCGCTTCGGTACCGGCCTGTGATGGTTGGCCTGGGTTCAAGTGCTGTGGGAGGCCCGACGGGTCGGGCAGGCACGGAAGCTGCTGGGGATAGTGTTGTCGGTCTGTTCTGCCCGGCCTGTCCCGTACGGGAGTTTAAGTGTTGGTCCTGAACAGGCCCAGGGTCTGCCCAGCGGTACAAACCGGACCACGGAGCCATGGTGATTGTAATGGTGGTGGCCGTCCGATGGAGGATGGAGGGGCCGCGTATTTCATCTGATGCCCCTGTGGTTCTGGGCGTCTCATGCGGGAATGGGAATCATCAGTTATGAAGGGCGGCAGGGTGTTTCTAACGGGGAACACCTAGCCTAGGCACAATGGAAAGGTTAAAAAAGTTGGAGGCGTCGGGAGTGTGGACAGTGACTTTAGCAGAAGTCGAGTGAGGTTGAAAAATAAATGTGTCGCCAGCCGTCAGTTGTCGTTCCTGGTCCCTTACACTCCGATGTGGGATGGCGCTTCCAGCCGCAGATGCAATGTGCCAAGTGCATCAGGCAGACTGCAGACCGCAGCACGAGCACCTCGGGCAGCCCAACACACGAACCTCCTCAGAATCCCAGCCAGTGACTAAGCATCGGCCGTGCAATCCAGACAGGGTTGAAGACGTTTGACGGGCGATGGTGTTGGCGTCAAAAACGATAATGGGGGCGAGATGCAAACCAACAGGGAATGGCCCAAGAACAGGTCCCAACGCATTCATCCAATGTCGACCAGGTCGTCGGGTTTCATCCAGACGTGGCTGCTTCGGTGACCGGGAAAACGGGGACGGACGTTCGATTCTAGTCTCGTCCGGGGGGGTTGTTAATGGATACAAAGACCGGACAAATTGCTTCGGAGGTTGCAAGTAATGATTCTGTCTGTCTGCAGGGAGGTGTGTTTGTTGGTCGGATCAATTGCCCAAGCAGCTTATTCGACCTGAACCAAAGCGAGGGCTGGACATCGGAAGCAGGGGGATGAGGTAGGTCGGTCGATGCCGTGCGTCGGTCGGTCCAGCCAGTCGGTAACGTTCAGCCAAGCTCCCAAGGCGTCGAAAAGTGTTGGGAGTAAAATCGTAACCGAAAAATAATAACAAACCTCAGTCCAACTCTTCCCAGACAGGGGCAATTCCAGATCCCAAGCAGCCGCTGAGAACTGTCCCGAAACCGACCATCTTGCCTAACGCAGAAAACCCACCCCCACAAGCCTCCAAACAGTCACTGTCAAGCACAGCGATCGGCAGGAACACAAACTGAACCAACCCCGGAACCGGAAACCTTTCCCCAATTTTGTTCGTTCCTGATGGCCGGACGTTCGCTATCCTTGATATCGGACGGTAAGTTAATACGAAGTACGAGTGAGGGACCAAAAAAAAAAACCAAGACCCTCCCTGGGCAGATTTCTTGGACGGTACGAGTTAGGGAGGCACAGGAGGGGTTGCAGTGCATCTCCCCAGGGCTGCAGCAGAACCCCCGGGCCACACGAGAGGCCGGGCGGCAAGCGGGAAGGACGGGCGCCCCTGGCGCTTGCCCTCTGCGCATCCACAACATGGAACTGCCTGGATCCCTGCAAGGGCTCACAGGCTTGGGTCTTGCATACAGTATCCATACCCTGAAAGAAACACTGTAGTTGACGGCAACACAGGCACGACCCCTATCTTGCTGATGTCATACCTCCCCAAGGACAGTCACTGAAAGGAAACACAGATACAGAGATCTGACCCTCTTCTATTGGTATCACTACAAAAGGGCTCACAAGATAATAAACATCCACCCCCCGCCCTGGGAAGTTTAAAGAAAAAAATCAACGAGAAAAGGAGATAGTAAAGAACAACAGACAACAACAACCACATCACACTCCACCGCCCCCAAAATGTCCCCGTTTCTCCCGCGGCTGAAACTTGGCAATCCTAAAGCCTGATGAAATCTCATCTTTTGCGTGACGATATCAAGCCTCCAATTTTTTGTTGCGTATCTCATCGCGAGCGCCGGGAGTCGAGCCACCCAAACAAAGACAAGAAAAAGGAGGTCACAATCCATAAAACTCCCATCCATCGCCCCCATTCCCAAAGCCGCCACCGGTGCCCTGATTCATATCCCCACCTCCATCACCTCCAACTCTATCTTGATCCCCAATTGTCGGCGCGAATTCATTTCTCCATTCCTCCGTCAGTCAGAGCTCATCCTCTTCGAGTTCCGACGGCTTAAGCAAGCCGCCCACCTTGGCACGGCGCTCGTGGTCAGCCTGTCGGGCGTCGCGCTCCTGTTGCTCCTTTTCGACAAGGTACAGCTCGGCATTGTCGCCGGCAAACTCGCGGAGCGAAATCAAGAAGTCGCGTAGTGCTAGCCGGAACTTGTCGTACTGTGTGTTGAGCGTGAACAGACCCTCAACAAAGGAGGTGATTTGGGCACTGCGAGCCTGGGATTAGCTAGGTAGAGAAAAGAGACCACTGTAGAAAGACATACGCTGTGAGGTTGGAAAACGCATTCTGTAGCAGGTTGCTGACAAAGTTGCCGAGGAACTCGCGGTTTCCTGTGCCCTGCTGCGCCTGGTCGGGTTGGTAGATCGGGCCCTGAATCTTGGGCTGCGTGCCGTCGGCAGGGTGGATGAAGAAGAACAGGCGCATCAGGAGCATTGACTGCGTCTTGAAGCCAGCCTTGTGGTCCTGGTCAGTTAGTACGAAGAAGACGTCCTGCAGGATCGTAATGAAGAACTGGTTGAAGAAGGCGTTCGAGGTCTGCACATCGGTCTTGTCGGCGATGTTGTTAATCAACTCCAGACACATATTCAGACCGGCAGTCTCGACGTCGCGGTTGTCGTGCTTGCTGGCCCACAGGCAAGAGTCGATCACGAACTTGAATTGTCGGTTGTCCAGCTTCAGAAGGGCTGTGGGAGAGTTAGAAATTGAACGGATCAGACGAAGCCGGGGAAGTTTGCTCACCTGGGAAACACTGAAGGTTAATGGCGCGAAGGAGGTTGAAAAACTCCACGCGGTGCTCGGGGAACTCAGAGAAATCCTTGTTAATCATGTCCAGGGTGCACTCAAACACATTCTCCATGATAACCGGCACTTGGTCCTCCATAAGGCCCTAAAGAAAACGTTAGCTGATGCAAAAAATCGGTTACTCTGGAAGTTCAACGTACAGAGAGCTTGGTAATCATGGCCGTCATGGCCTTCAAGACTTCAGCATCGCGAGCCCCAGGAACGTTGCGACTGTAGTCAACTAGAACAGAATCTAGTAGCTGGGGGACCACTTGGGTCCTGACGGCCTGCAGATCCTCCGCCTTGTCGATGAAGGTCTCAACGAGCTTGAGAATCTCCTTCTTGATGGTCCGAAGACCGCGGACCTTAGGCATCTTCGTGGCAATCTCGCCTGAAATCCGGTAAGTGAGCATTTGCTACATAAAGGGATGATAGGAATGGGCGACCAACCTTCGCGAACAACTGCCTCAGAGATGAGCTGGCTCGTTGCGGCATACATCTGCAGCATATCGTTGTACAGCCGCCCAAGCTGGGGGAAGAAGTACGACCCAATTGACGAACAGGCCGACACGTTGGTCTTCATAATGTTGCCAATAATCTTGATGGTGTCGGCGTCTTGGAGGACGGCGGGGTTCATCGTCGCCTGCTTGATAATCTCATCCCAGGCCGTGTTGGGGATGGCCATCAACTCGGATAGGAGGCGCTCCTGTTGGTTCCTGTTACCCTGGGCAGCCACCATATAACCACACGCTTCGTAAAACGTGTGAACCTGTTGGGGTGTCAGGTCGCAAGTGATCTTGCCAAGGCTGCGGATGATCTCCTCGATGAACGGCTCGGTCTCGCTGGGTTGGAGCGCAACGAAGTGGCGTCGGCATTGCTTGGCGATCTTGATGAAAGTATCGCAGGCCATGTCCTGGACACCTAGTGCGAGTTAGTACAACACCTGCTCGAGGGAAAGGGTGATCAGAAACATGCCTTCATGGGACTCATGCATAAACTCAAAGAGCTTGTTGACGACCGTCTTAAGGAACTTCCAGTGCGCCTTGAGAAATCGCGGGTATTGCCCCACAATGTACATGATATTGCTGGCAACCACGGCTTTGTTGTCCTTGCCGCGCTTCATCTCGGTCAGACCCAGGAGATCCTTAATGACCGTGACCAAGAACCGCTTCTCCGTTTCCTCGTTCATGGCAAGCGAGATTGAACCGATGGCCCAGCAGAGTACGTTGCAGTTGTGCCACGACCATTCAGTTCCGTCCACCTGTCGGGCCAGCTTTTCCGTCATGATTTGCTCGGTATCGACCACGTCCAGATGGGTGAGGTAAACCAGGCATTCGCGGATCGTCTTGTATAGCTGGACGGTGTCGGTCTCCTTGACGAACTCGCGGACGATCTCACCCTCCTCGTTCTCCACAATCAACACTTCCTCAGGTCGGACCATCTTCTCGATCATGACCACACGCAGGTTAGACAGAACCTCGTTGTATTTATGCTTTCGGAGAGGGTAGTTGGTGAGTAGCGCCGGGTTGGGCGCGCCGCCACCGCCCATCACTCCGAGGGACATCGAGGTGAGATCGGAAATCGGGAGTGACTGCATCTCCTCATAGAGCTCCTGGACGAGCTTCAGCCAATAGTCCAAGCAGATCTTGAAAATCTCGCGGTCATCGATCTGGGAGATTCGAATGAGGTAGAAGTGGCCGTGTGTCAAGAAGTCTCGGTTCGGGAGGTTCTCAATGAGCTGTGAAACTGGTCAGTAATGTTTTCTAAAAATTCAGCAGCGCAAATTCCTCAAGAAGCTCACCGGCAGGTGCATCCCATAAAAGTTGCACAAGAATAGCGCCAAGTTTTGAATGAACTCCTGGTCGCGGGAGTTACTCTGAGGGTATGTGGTCTTGAGATCCATATCCAGAGGGATGATGTTGGAAATCGAGGTCAGGACCTCGGTAAACATCTTCACGAGTTGCTCGTCATAGGTGTTGATCTGGCCAGGTCCGCCCGTCTGGAGTCCTCCGATTTCTGTCAAGACCTGCAATGTGATGTTCCGAAACTCTGGTGCCTCGAGGAAGCGCGTTCGAAGCGTCTCGATCAGGGGCGTTTCGAAGATGTAGCCCAGCGGAATCCAATTGCAGAAGCGAAGCAACGTCTCCAGGGTGGCCTTAATAAGGCTCGGCTGGGAGGCGCTGTTGAGAATCTCCTGGCAAAGCTGGAAGATCTGAGAGAACTCGGCGCACATTGTCGTCTTGAGGTTGCGCGTTTTCGCCGACGTCATTTGCTCGGCTGAATAGTCGAAGACCTCCTCGGACAGGAGACGTAGGATAATCATGTTGTTCTCGCAAACGGACAAGCTCGAGTGGCAGGCGGAGATGATCTCGTTGATGAAAGTGGGCCAGTTGTGAGGCCATTCCTGCTTTAGGACGGAGACGAGCACGAGATTGAGCTTGTTGAGAAGGGTGCGGTGTGCCTTGAGGGCCTCTTCGCTATTGGAACACTGCAGAATATACTGCACGACGAAGTTCCGGATACCTGCAATTTGTCAGCCTGCCATGGTCCCTGCCGGACAGTATATTTGAGATATGCAAACGCGGGCGACCTGCCTTGACACTGGTCCCGCGGCAGGACTTTCCATCTCGTCATAATCACGCTATCGAGAACCTGTAAACCCAAAACTGTTTTGTGTGTAAGCGAGCGTATAGTCGACCAGTCCCGGCCCGAGGGGAAAACGAACATTTGGTTTGCTCATGAGTCGCGTTCGACAGGATGTCGTCCACCATGAGCCACGCATCCGGGTCTTCTTTGAACTAGTAAAAGGTTAGTCCAGGCAAACGGGACGGCGACCGATTCGACGGCGGGTGGACTCCGAGGAACATGCCTGGTTCAGAGCGGCTTGAGCAGCTTTTTGCTGTTGTTAAAACCCAAATATGTTAGCTGTCTATTTTTCTCAATTCTGTTATCGCCAGCTCAGCTGGGCGGTTAGCAGGCCTCCCACCCCATAATGTACATACCTGTTCGCCGCGACCTTCATAGAAGGCTCGGACGGTGGCGTCCAACTCCTCGATGGAGACGGGCATGGTGACACGCCTTGATGTGTTGTCGTGTGCGGAATCTCGAGTCGGGAAGCTGGCCGGGTAGTGCGGACCAGTCCGCGCAGGATGGGGAAAGGGAAGGAAAGGAGGATATTTTGGTGTTGCGGGGCGAGGATAGAGCGAAAGGCCAGTCGGGTTCTGCTGCGCGGGGTTGGAAAGTGCAGAAAGGTTTTGATCGCGGGGTTCGGGTACTGGAGGGCGGTCAGGGTCTTGAAGGAAGGTTAGGTTGAGGGCTGGATGACGGAAGCAATGGAAAAAGAGATTAATGTAAAAGAGGTGAATCGGGTCGAAAGCTCCAAAAGGCCGAACCCCACCAGCCTCTCGATTGTTGCTGGAACCCCGCCCTGCAGAGTTGGCGCCTGGTTGCGCTGGCGCTGGGGAGCTCCAGCGAGGCTCCACTGTGCCGGGTTGCCAAGGCCACTGTGAGCCTCAAGTCACTGCAGACCGCCGGGGAAGAGGGGTTGCCCGTTTGCGCGAACCACTTCTTATTAATTATTGCTTCGCCAGCAGGCCGACATGTTTATTTACTTTACTGCTCGTGGCACCCGCCCTTCAAAGAGTTCCATCCTCAATCCCCTCCCACCCCCAGTGATAGAAGAACTTCATAATACTGCGGTCAAATTACTTTTTGGGAATAATCAACCTTTGTGTTCACCTGGAGCGTGGTGACTGGAGCGGAACCAGATTCAAGGTTACCCGCTTGGACGTGGTGTTGTTGGCTCGCAAGGGGCTTAATAAATTGTATCGACGGCTGTATGTCCCGGGCTAACTAGGGGTTGTGGATAGTACATCCCATTCACGCAGCAGAATGGAACTAACAGCCAAACCTTGGCAATAAGAACCCGGGCAATGCCTCCGGTATGCTTCCCGGTCGATTTCAGGCGCACTTTGCCCCTCGTGTCAGGGTACTATCTGAACCCTTATATCACTGTAGGCAAATAGTTTCTGGATCTTCCTTAACAGGGTTCGCGGCCATGTACTATCGGCCATGCGATGAATGAAGTAACTGGCATACAGCTACCGCTCACGTCGTAATAATCGGCCTGAAGCGAGCCCTTGGCTTCCATGTAGTTAGACAACTGACGTCACTCCCGAAGCGGAACTCTGTTATTAAAATACCGAAGACAGGAAAACATAGCCGTCCTCAAGAGCTTCAGCAGACTAGTGGCCTGGTTATAAGCCTATTTCCAGGTTTTCTTCTGGTCACTCTCGATATGAGGGTTACAATTACGGACCCATTCGCTGGAACGAGTAGAAAGTCGTCGTCCTTGGGTTCATTGGATGGGCCGCTTAAATTTGCCTCAGCTAGTTTGGATCTATCAGGAAAACATTGTCTTTCTACATAGCGTAATTTTGGCGTTCCCCTATATGCTAAATGTATACACTTTACGGCTTCCTGTATCCACACTCGGCCAAACCCTCCTCCAGCGACTTCAGGGCGTGATCCACGTCAGTCCGGTTGGGATCAAGCTATAACCATGTCAGTAATGTGTATCTGAAAAGCCACAAACGGCGAAAAACACAGGGAAGAAACTCACCAAGCTGACGCCCATGTGCCCGAACCGGATGTACTTAGTCGCAATCTCCTTATGAATGCCGCCCGCAAATACCACGCCCTTCTTGGCAAGGATGGGCAGCAGCTCGGCGCCCTTGACCCCGTCAGGGAGGTAGATGGCCGTCATACCGTGTGCTTGCTCGTCGGGGTTACCCGCAACCTGCTTCAGGCCAAGGTCTGTCACGGCCTTCTTGATCCTGTCGGAGCCGGCCTTGTGGGCGGCGAATCGTTCCGAGACCGGCTTGGTCAGGATCTGGTTGAGCGCGGTGTGAAGCGCATGGATGAGCTGCGGAGACGGGGTGGCAAAATAGGAGGGTTTCTTGGCTTCGTAGTTTTGCATAACTGGGGCTGTTAGCATCGTGATGCCAGTGTAGTCATGGGTTCGGCAGACGTACTTGGTGTCCAGTTCTTCATGGATGCAAAGTAAGCAGCTGGAGGGGTCTTGCGGTTCTGGACAGCCTTCAGGGCGCGGCCACTGAACATGGAGATGGACAAGCCCGCCGGGCAGCCAATGGCCTTCTGGCTGGCAGTGACAACACCGTCCAGACCCCAGCCATCAAAGTCGATCTCCTCGCACGCCACACTGCATACGCCGTCGACGATGATGAGAGTGTCGGGAGAGACCTTGTGGACGAGGGCGGACAGGTTCTTCAGCTCGCTCAAAACACCAGTGGAGGTATCGACGTGGGTGACGGTAATAGCCTTGTACTTCTTCTCGGATAGCGCTTTCTCGATCTCGGGAAGTTGGGGCTTGGTGCCGACCGTGGCCTTGAGCTCGGTCACGTTGGCGCCGTAGACGCGCAGGCAGTCGGCGAAGCCGTCGCTAAAGTAGCCGGTGCCGAGCACCAGTACGTCCTCGTTGGGTTCGATCAGGTTGGCGGCAACAAGATCCCAGCCGAGCGTGCCGGAGCCAGAAATGACGAACGGTTGCGAGGACGGATCGGTGGTCTGGAAGAGCTTCCGTAGGAGAGTGAGGGTCTCGCCGAAGGTAGCAACGAAGCCGGGACCGACATGGCTCTCGCTATCGTTCAAGGTCGATTGTTAGGTCTGAGGCTATTACAAGTCTAAGCTTGTTCGGGTTGACACACCTAAAGTGGCTCATCGACTGCAGCACCGCATCGTCGAACTCGATAGGACCTGGGATTAGGAGCGTGGGGTGCGCAGCTTGGGACGACATCTTCGGAGCTTCGGTCGAGAGGCTGCGTGACTGGATCTTGGGCAGCAGGGAGGTGTCGATGGTGTCTGGGAGGCGCTCGACAGTGAAGGGCGTGTTGATCGGGTACACAGGGCCGAGATGTCGGGAGATGAGAGAGAGCCGGGCGGGGGGGGTATTATCGGGCGGGTTTTGGCGGGGCATCGAAGCCGCCGGGCGTCTCAATCGTCTGAACACCGGGCGCAAGCGGGCGACCTCGGGTATGAGCAGCATGGAAGTCCAGGAGCTCCCCACTGTGCGTGTAAGCTCCGATCTGGTACGTCACCTAGTGTACGTATCGTTTGTAGCTTGACACTCTAACGGTGGCGTTCCCCCTGTAGATTGTTTTTGATCTCAATTGCTGCTAGACACCCTTGGTGTCGATTTATGTTGATGTGTTGAAACTACTCGCACAGAATACGGATAGAGCCCCGAGGTTTCGAAATAGCCTTTCGGACCGGGCGCACCGAGTGTTTAATAAGCGACCGGTACCGGGATTTTGGAGAAGAGAGAAAACCCACTGCTCCCGTCCTTCGCTCCGTATTGAACTCGACCCCAGTCTGCGGTCACGCAGAGTCGGATTGACTTGGACCACGCGTTTTGAATTATCACCGTAGCACGGTCAATTTACGTTCAATGTCTGCGCGGTGTCTGCGCTGCTAGCATCGCTAAGATGTAATCTTTGACATATTTCACAATGCATTCGGCTTTCTTTCCTCTTGAAGGCCGGACCCGCCCGGCTGGTGCAGCGTGCCGCTTCCCGTGTCGGCCTCGAGCGGGGAGAAAGTCTACGGTGGTCAGAGCGGCAATGCGGGTGACCCTGGAAAAGTAACATGGAAATCGATTTCCTGGCCCCGAAACCACGCAGTGTTTGCACAATTGGTCACTGTAGCTTTCATTTTAGATACGTTATTAGTTGAAAATCTTATATCAAATCCGTAGCCCATCGTATTGTCTATCTGTCGGGTTATCCATCACGTAAAACTTGAGAGCAACTGGCGCTTTCGCCTGGACAAGTCGCTGCAAAACGCCGCCGCAGGAGCCCCCCCCGGTGCTGGCTCGGAAAGGCGAGAAGAAAGGTGCTGTTCCGTCACCGTGGGCAGGGGCAGCTGTCGTCCGGCCTAAAACCGCCACAGCAGATCCGAATAGCGGAGGCACACCGGAATAACCTTTGGGGAGCGAAGGGACTTGGTGAGGGGTATCGTGGAACTCGGTGTTTACTGTTGTGGGACGTAACATAAGATGACTCCAGATGCCGATGTATGTCCGAGATCTTGCCTCATGCCGAGACCCAACAGCGTAGCTTTAACAAGGAGCAATATGACAAGTGAGATTCCGCCCGAAAACCAAATTCTCAAGGGACTTGAAACAAGGGGAAAGCCATGGGATACAAAAGGGGTGAAGAAACATAGGTAGAGAATTGGATATATCTAACCCTAACCCTAATTACCCTTGCGCCAGCTAAACTTGGGCGGAAAGCTGAGCTCCAACGGAACCGCGTCGTCGTGATCCCCAACTCGAGACACATCAAGGTGAAGACCACTCCGCCCGAGACTCGGGTTCCAAGCATTCGTTGCATATTTCCGCATTCTAATCCAAATTGAACTACCGTCATCCATTCGCGATCGCTTTCCATTCAGCCCCCGCGGCCAATTTACCCCTCCCAGTTCAGCGTCCCCCCTCAACGGAACGGAACCTTTCATTGAACTTCCACATCCTCCTACGGCGCTTCCACAATGGCGTTTCTAATTCTCGTAATTGGCGACCTGCATATACCCGACCGTGCCCTCGATATCCCCCCAAAGGTTTGTACCTGCTGCTGCTGCTGCTGCTACTGCTGCACTCCGTCCCCATCCGCCTACTAGCATCCAACTAACAGGCCCCTCCCCCACCCTACAGTTCAAAAAGCTCCTCTCCCCCGGCAAGATCGGCCAAACCCTCTGCCTCGGCAACCTGACAGACCGCGCGACGTACGAATACCTCCGCAGCATCTCCCCTGACCTCAAAATGGTGCGCGGCCGCACCGACGTCGAAGCGGCCGCGCTCCCACTCACACAGGTCGTCACTCACGGCGCCGTGCGCGTCGGGTTTCTCGAGGGGTTCACACTAGTCAGCGATGAGCCGGATGTGCTGCTGGCGGAAGCGCACCGGCTGGATGTGGACGTGCTGTGCTGGAGTGGTGGGACACATCGGTTTGAGTGCTTTGAGTATATGGATAAGTTCTTCGTCAACCCTGGAAGTGCGACGGGGGCGTTCACGACGGATTGGGTGGCAGGTGGAAGCTCAGGGGAGGTGAAGGGGGATGCGGAGGAGGTGGTACCCAGCTTTTGTCTGATGGATGTGAGTACGCGGCTGGTTTTTGGGGGTGGTGTGTGTCATGGGTAAGGTTGAAGGAATGGTGCTAACGGTCTGGAACAGGTACAAGGGATCTCGCTGACGCTCTACGTCTACCAATTGAGGAAAGGAGAGAACGGATCAGAGAATGTGGCGGTCGAGAAGGTCACCTATACCAAGCCGGTCGAGCCGACGGGAGCGCCATAAACGGACAAACAAGGCCGAGGATAACGGCGGGAACTGGGGATCAAAGTGGGCGATAATACCGCCGAGGGCTTGAGAGACATTCAGGTGGCGCTAAGTGACCGTCGGTGGCGCAGAGGAAGGATGACTTCCCTTTAGAAACACCGGTCCGGTACTGCGGACTTCGGAGATCCGACCATTTAAACCTGGCGGAATAGACGTGTGGTGGGGTTGTTTGTATTGGGTGTACCTCTGGGAGTTTTTTACGAGGGCCAGTATAGGCCACGAGGAAGCGGGATTTTTCTTCGTGTTTAAAGCCAGCAACACATCTCGAATCCACTGTATCACCCAGATGGCCATAGACAGATCGGCCTCGAGCCGCAAAGAAAGCCTGATTATCAAGAATACAAAGGGATAATGGTACTATTGTATTCCCTATCCAGTTTGAGTTTGAGGGAGACAATCTGAGCAAAGCTACTTGCGTGACCTCTATCGGACAGATGCTACCGAACTCCTCCACCCACCCTCCTTGATCAGCCCGCTCCCTGTTCCCCAGCCAGAACCAACAACACAAAAGAGAGAATGAGAAAACGCCAGACGCTGTGCCATGCCGCTGTCGTTACGGTAATAACAGAAATCAGAAAATAGAGTGTCCATCAATCACAATAAGAAGGAAGAACGCCAATGCCCAATGCCTCACAGCATCATACTTCTGCGTCTCGAAATCCTCCCGCCGACACTTCCACTCGATCCGTCCCCTTCTGTCGTCGACGTCGAAGCACTACTAATGTCCGCGTCCGCCGCAACGATCACCGAATCCGCATCCTCCAAGTTTTCCAGCATGGAGCTCTTCTTAGGCGCCAGCATCGATGCCCGCTTCCTTCCACCTCGCCCATCGGACCGCGACGTTGTAGTTGATGGTGGTGGGGGTAGTTTGGGATTTTTGATTGTGGAGTTGTCGTCTTCATCGTCATCGCTGTCGAATGTTTCACGGAGTGCTGCAGCAGCGACCATGGAGGATTTTCGTGTCGGTCTTAAGCGGGATGCGGAGCTCGATGGAGGGGGAGCGCTTGGTTCGGTCGTGGTGCTGGCGGTGCTTTTGGAAGCAGACTGCCTAGAGAGAGCAGGAGACGAAGCGGTAAAATCGTAGATATCCGTTTCCTCGGTCGAGGCAGCGGATGGGACTTGGTTGGTCGCCGTGTTTGTTTTACTGCTACTGCCCTTATGCCGCTTGTGGTCTGACGGCGCAGACTCTTGTGCGACAGAGGCAGTGGTTGGGTTCGGTTCGCTTGCAAGAGATGTCGATAAAGATTCGCGGCTAGCAGCTACGGCGGAAGGCCTTTTCCGTCTCTCTAGAACTACCGTGCTAGGGAAAGTGTCTGAGAGAGCATCCTTTTGAGCTAGGGGACTTAGAGGAGCGGGGTGGGTTTCTGCGGGTCGCTCGTTCACCGTTGTGATCTTGTTGCTACTGCTGCTAGTCGGCTCGAGCTTGATTTTGGTGGTGGAGGTTGGGGCGGAATGTTGGTCATCCGGCTTCAACGATGCGCGGTGAGCGTACTTGCCCTCACCAGCAACGGCGTCGAAAAGCTCTTTGGTAGGCCGCCGCATCTTGTCTCGCAAGTTCGGTTCCGCATAGCTGACAGCAGCCCTAGCGCGGCGGCTTGGTCGGATCGTCTCGCCAGTGGAGGAGATATCGGCCGGCGGCGGAGTGTCGTGGGGCACCTCGGTCTGGGCTTGCCGATGGGGGGTGGTCGGGGAACTTGGCGTCGCTGATGGTAAGGAGGTCGCCGATTCCAGAAGGGCCTGGTCCGTTGGAATCACGATTTCAACCGGTTTCCTTGGGGCATGGACTTCATCCTTCATGATCACATCATTGACCTCCAACGCTCGCCCTTTCTTCACTTCCTTCACTTCCTTCACCGCTGGTTTTGAAGTCTTCCGTGGAGAGGACACGTCCTCGTTGGTGCTCTTCGCAGCAAGTGGCGTCCTCTTCCCAGAGAGCGGTGCCTTGCCAGTCTTCTTCTCCGGCTTCACGTTTGCCAATTCGGCGAGGGTCCGTTTCTTGTGGCCGCCACGAGTTGGGAATGGCTTTTCCGTAAGCACGCTGTTCTCCTGACTAGCCAATGGCGTGGTGCTCTGAGATGTCCCGTTCTCATCGCCATATTTCCGCTTCGCACCCGTTTTGACCGGCTGCAGAGTTGGCTCTGACACTGGTTTCCTGGGAGATGGTGTGTTCTTTGTTGGGCTTGTGGGCTTGACAATGTGCTCCTCGGCTTCCTTCTCAAGTTCGGGGCTCCTAGACGGCTGCCTTACATAGCTGAGCTTCGGCGGGGATAGTATCGTGGCCGGCCGCCTTGTAGTTTCGGGCGCGAATTCTTCATCCCTAGCTGGCGAATGTTTGACGGGTTCGTCTTTGACAAAGTGCGCAATGGGGGGCGGCCCTAGGTCAGAGGAATCATTGGTATCGTCCGCCGCGGCACAAAGTGCCATAATTTCCTCCGTGCTGTTGATAATTAGCAAACGTCGAATCAGTATAATTGTAGAGAGACGCACTTCATAGTTGCTCGTGGGTAGCTCTTGTTCTCGTAGATAGGAGGTAATCTACCCTCCATCTCGGCCAAAGTGTCCGAGTCAATTGACGTAGTCCGCCGTCCCCTAAATTGTGGGCTTCTTGCCATGCTCTGGCACGATCGGGACGTCGTACGGTCACCCAAAGAACGTCTCTTGGCTGGCGGCTCTGAACCTAGATCCGCTAACAATGCAGCGAACCCCGACAACTGCTCCTCGAGCTTAGCCTTTACTTCAAGTGCATGGTCAGCTATCCTTCGCGCGCTGTTATCCTCCACCTGTTTTTCGAGTCGCAGAATTTGGCCACGAAGATCGAGGTTCTCGGAAAGCAATCGGCCGCAGTCGTTCTCGAGTCGTCGTATCTTTTGTGATTGGTCCGAGTTGATTTTCGCGATGTCGCGGTTCTGGCGTAGAAATTTCCTACGCACTATATCAAACCCGTCAGCAAACCGTGATTGTCGGTGGGTGAAGGTCCCAAACACGCACATATTTCGAGATGACTCTCCACGGGAACGGGTGCTTCGTTGAGACGCGCCATCGCTCATGATGGTAGGAAAAATAAACGGCGCGGGTCGGCTTGTTCGCGATTGGAGGGCGAGCGTAACGGTTGGGGGTGATGAGGGTGATGGCAGGGGGGGACGCAGTGCTGGTGAATGGGGTTTTTCGCGACGTCAACGAGAACAGGTAAAGAGTCAAGTCCGCAGTTGGACAATTTTCGTGTCGCCGTGGTGGGCAATGTTGACATTGCTTCCGGATTGAGCCTAGCGCGTTTGTACAGAACTTTGGGCCAGCCCATGTTTACAACCTGGAAGCCGAGGAATCTGCCCCACCTCGACCAGCCAGTGGTCAAGGCACCGCCAACCCTTGCGCCCATGTCTGCAAGTCATTCTTACCCCTCTCGATAGGCCTCGCCCAGCTACCTCATTCATGTCCCGGGTCATTTTATCTTGTTCAATTTTTACGCCAACATGTCAGGGTTCCCATCAAGGCCGCTGGCCTCTCACATGCGGCAGCCGTCGCTTTCCGCAAACTCCGGGGGCCAGTCACCCGCTTTAGTTGCTCGAGTTAACGAAAAGAAAGCTGAGTTAGAGAACCTGAAAGAGTTACGCGATCTCAGCGCGGCGGCTGCAACGCAGATGGAAGCTTTAGAGCAGAAGCTCGCTACTCTTTCAGATGGAACGGAGGGTGTGTGGCGTCAATAAATGTTGCTTATAGTAGTTAAAACTAATCGGGCTTCCCTCAGCTATCGCCTTGGTGTTGAGCAATTGGCATAACGTGCTGAGAGCTATCAATATGGCATCAGGTGTGTTATCATCCTTTTCTACCGTCTTTGTAGAGCTATGCTAAATGACACCAGCCAAACTCCCAAAACCAACTGTACCAGTCGAAGACCCTGACCGGGCGCCTCTTCCGCAAACATTGGTTCGCATCCCAACGGAACACGCTCCTGCTCTTCAAGCGCACGCGGAAGGCGCAGCCGAGGAGGAGTCCGGGTGAATCGCACTTGCGTTTCCAGAGCATCTCAACTCAACTGACGTGGCCCTTCACACGTCTTTGGCAACATCCTGATACCAAGATATAACAAAGCGGAAGCTCTATTACTGGACACGAAAATCGGAGCCGCCCTTTTATGGCAGCTGCTTAAGTAAGACGCCGATAATTTTTGCAGTCCTGCGAGGGGTGACATCCCTCAGTGTAGAGGTGCGGGGGAGGGGAAACAGGTCGAACTCTCGCGCCGCGTCGCCAGGGTTGTCGCACCTCGCAAATTGCCTGCCTAACCGCTTTTGGACGACATCGCAAGAGAAGTGGCGACGGAGGCAGAGGACTTGCCCATGATCAATTCGAGTTCGGTGGAGAAGCTCGAAAACAGCAGGAGCTTGAAGGGAACCGGTTCGGTCGTTCTATCAATTCTTCTCCCGATAAGCCGTGGAGGGTGGAACGGCAATTGCGCGGTTGCCAGGGAAGTTACATCGTTGCAGACAAGGCAATGCCTTCTTGAGCCGTGACGCGGGAAAGTAAACAATGCAACCCTCTTACATACAGTAGTCCCCCGCAACGCGCTCTTTGTGTTGCCAAATATTCTCAAGCACCCTCTCTCTCTCTCTCCCGCACACAACAATTGCGTTCCTGCTTCAGAACGGTGCTCCTCATTGCTAGGTTGCGAGCATCATTGATCGTCGTCGCGCCCGAGCTTTTTTTTTCCCGATCAGATATCCCCAGATTTCTCAAGCCGTCAAGCCTGAGGATCAAACACCCCTCCTTCAGGGCGCTAGCCAATCGCGTCGGCTTGTTGTGAAATTGCACTTGGAAACCTACCCCTTGTCTCCCGCATTCTTGGGCACATCGGCGACTCGAGACCCTTGGCCCGGAATCAGGCTTATTTCGGGGGGTTCCGTTTGCGACGATATTAAAGAGAGCCATGGCGACCATTTCGCGCCCCCGGCAATACGCCGAACCCGACATTCACAACGACCTCTGCCAGAAGGAAAACGCCAACAGCATCCCTTACGGCGTCGCAAGCTCGGCTTTGGGCGAACTCCCGTTGAACAGCATCCACAACGTTGGTGATCGCAAAACCAGCGTCGAGTCTCTGGCGCATCGGTTGGATGGTTTCCACCTCAACAACCCTGACAAGGAGAACGCGCTGCGTCCGTCCACGGGAACTGGTTTCCAGGTTCTTGCCGACACGCTAAACACGAAAGAGTCCACCCAGAAGGCTTGCTCTGCCGCCACTAACACCATCACGTCGAACTCCGAAGGTATGTCAATGTGTTCCTGAAGTCCGTTTCGATTTAGACACCCAACTTGCGTTGACATGCCCAAAGAATTTGAGAACAACAACGCCCTTGCCGTGGCCAGCCAGCAACTTCCGGGCACCAAGGCGCAACTGTTGAAGCATCAGGAAGGTCAGTTTGATTGGCTGCTCTCGATTCCCATCCAAGCTGGCGCCAACGGGGACAGACCGCGCAGCGGTTCTCATGGCGATGCGGAGCTGTCCCAGGGCGAAAAGATGGTGCACTTTGGATGCAACCTGGTTGAACGTAGATCGGCATCGGATACCGGCGCAATGGGAGACGGCAAACCTACTAACATGTATACTTTATTAGCCACCCGTGTCAAGGCCGAAGAGGAGTTCATGATGGATGTGGCACCCGTGTTTGCGGAGATGGAGCTCGCCGTTGCGGCCGAGCGGCTGCGGCTCAGTGAAGCAGCTTCCATGACGGAACGCCAATATGGCACCCTGGACGTCCCTAAGAGCCCGGGGCTGATGGTGGAGATCAACGACCTCGGTTCCGATATTGGTGAGGAACGATCCCGGCCAGTGTCGCGCATCGAAGACTCCGTCGAGGCCCTCGACAGATTAGAGGAGGAGATTGAAGCTTTGAGCCAGATCGCTCACCTCGGCAAGGTGCTCTCTCCTGAGGCTGGCTCACGGAAGCTCGACGTCGCTAGCCCGAGCACGACGCCACTGAAGCGGGCGACTTCTGTCCGAACCCCGCACTCAGCTCGCAGCGGCAGCCGGCCCCTCGAGCGTAGCGCCTCCGTGCGCCAGTCTTCGTCCGTTAGGGAGGGCGAGAAGACGTCTACCTCAGCGCGGAAGGTTGCGCGGCCCGCCAGCCTTCTCCCGCCGAAGCCGCTCGCCAAGTCCGACAAGGCTCCGACAATGTCAACATTCCAACTTCCGGGTGAGGCTGTGGCTCGCCGACTGAAGGAACAACGTGAGCAGCGCCGGTCGCAGCATATATCCGAGGAGGAGGCGGCCGCCATCGCGGCGGCCTACTCGCCAGCCAAGCCGCACTTCAAGTCTACCAAAGCACCCACTCGCCCGACGTTTGAGCTTCCCGGTGAAGCAATTTCGCGCCGCAAGCGCGAGGAACACCAGGCCAAGCTCCGCGCCCAGGAGGAGGAGGAGCGCAAGCGCCGCGAGTTCAAAGCCCGCCCCATCCGCTCTAGTGTTACGCCCGGCACATTCCCCCGCGAGACCCTTGCCAGTCTAGCACGCCAAAAGACTCGGTCAACGGAGGGTTCTACTGATTCAGGATCTACAGCGGTAACGCCCACGCTCAGGAAACGTCAGTCCATTATGGGCTCCGCCTCGTCGGCCACGTCAGCCACTGCCAACACCAACCTCACCCCGACCACCACGCCTGGCCGAGGCCGCCACCCAACCGCCGAGCAGCCGGCTACGCGTGGGACGTCGTCGTCATCGACGGCGGCTGCTAGTGTCCACTCGCGCGGTAGCACCCATTCTAGTACTCGCCTAAGTGCGGATGAGGCGGCACAGCAGCGAGTGAGGGGCAAGGAGGTGTTCGCCCGCGATAACTCGTACACGGCGGAGAGAGAAAGGGAGAAGCGCGAACGGGAGAGGGCGGCTAGGGAGGCGAGAGAAAAGGCCGCGGAGCGCAGCCGGGAGTTGAGTCGGCTGTGGGCAGAGAAGCAAAGGGTCAAAATGGCAAGAGAGAGAATGGGGAAGGGGCAAACTGGGAGTGCCTGAGCATGCCCACCCTTCTTGCTCCAGGAGGGATGAGGACGGTGATCCGGTGTGGTATGAGGATGACCATGGGGTGGAGGAAAGGAAGGGTTCGTGAAATTGAAGCGGAGGAAGAGTGGGGCGATCAGCCGTTTATTGTTATGGCGGCGAATAACGAACAGCAGGAACATGCATGCATCGCGATGGTGGGTTTGGGCGTTATTTCGTTTATGTCAGGCTTGCACTGGCCCTTCACCCCTTGGGCCATTTGGCATTTTGCACAGCAACATCTTTTGGGCGGATTTTATTTGCGCATCGCCAGATACCCAGGTACCCGTATATGGCTGGCGTCGTCTCCAGCTTTCTTGACCCAACATTCAACGGGTTTTAACATTCGGGAGGTCTCGTCGGGTTGGGACCCTTGATGGATGGGAAGTCTGAACTGCGGTTCGTGGTTTGTGTAGCTTTAGTCTTGTTATTTATCTTGTTAAGGACTAGGGGGCTGGAAAACAATGGAATTACACAATTTTCGTGCCAGTCACTTATCGGCATTGCTGTTGTCTCGCCTTGACGTGATAGGGGCTTACATGATGGGATATAATTTCCCCCTATCCCAACTCTACGCCGGACCCTGTGATTCTTTTGCCACGCATAGAAACTTTGGTGGGTATCCGTACCGTGGCCTGGAATTGATTGTAGTTTAAGTTACTTAGGCCCGCCGTTCAAGTCAACCCATGTACAGGCCAATATCGCTCGACCGTCACTCCCCAAGCATATTAAACAGACGACCGGCCTTTCTCCCCCACAGGGTCAGCGGCATATGCAGATGGCCCGGCAGCCACGAGAACATGCTCCGAGGACATCGCACCATAGAGTTAAGAAGCTGAACATACAAAATCGACACCTGGAAGAGGAGGGAGAAGAAGAAGACAGTCAAAAAGGTCCAACCAGTGGTGATCCTTTCCCAATAGAAGCAAATGGCCGTTTCGGTATCATGTCGCGATTCTCGGACCCCACTTAATTCAACGAAGGTATAATTTGTTCGGCCATCGATCCGGATCCCAACCCAACCCACGAGTACACGGGGTAATAAAAACATGAAAGTCCGTTGACCGCCAATTCTCTTGGCTGTAAACTAGGTAGGAACATAATTTGAGCTCCAACAGGGATCTATGGGAGGAAACTACCTACCTAGGTATCTACCTAAGTAGTCTCAGGGCCGGGGCATCGGTGGCAACCCGGGATCGCGGGCGCTTGCATGACGCAAGCTACGGTCACAACAATTGCCGATTCTCCGACAAGCGCAGGGACAAGCTAGAGGTGAAACCTAGGTATTTTGCAGACCATTTACAAAAACACTCGATTTCAGAACAAGGGATCGGGCAATTCGGAGTTTTGCCGGACCCCTAGCAACATTCCTCCCTGTCGCGTATAGGCGGCCAAACTCCGTTATCTCCGCCAACTTACAAGTTCATGAACTTCATATCCGTTGTCGCCGACAAAGCAATAACCTTGGAGTTTTCGAGTTCAAACTTTAAATACGATTGAAGGGAAGCAAGAGATGGGTAAATCTGGCCCGGTGGCCTCTCTAGTTATCTCATGGGCACAATCAGCTCCCACTGTTCGACCAACATAGCCATCCTTAAAACCTGCCATCCTGCGAACCTCTGAAGCGCCTTTTTCTTGGCCTTGCAAGCATCTCTCGTCGCCATGGGATTCCTTTGGAGCCAACTATTTGTCACCTTGCCTTATCCCACCGGTAGTTACACTGGCCAAACCATCATTATCACTGGCGGCAATGCAGGTCTCGGCAAAGAAGCGGCCCGGCATTACGCTCGCCTCGGCGCTGCCAAGATCATCCTCGCAGTGCGCAGCATTGGCAAGGGCCTTTCCGCCAAGGAGGATATCGAAACCACCACCAAGTGTGCTTCCGGCACCATAGACGTCTGGCAGCTCGACATGGCCAGCTACGCGAGCGTCAAAGCATTCGCCGCCCGCGTGACCTCCGACCTTGACCGCGTCGATATCTTCCACGCCAACGCTGGTGTCGCGCGCATGCACTACCACCGCGCAGAGCAAGACGAAGAAAGCATCACCGTCAATGTCGTCTCCACTTTCCTTCTCCTATCTCTCGTCCTCCCCAAACTCAAAGCCACCGCGGCGGAGTTCCAAACCCGCCCAACCTTCGCCATCACCTCCTCCGGAGCGCACCTCCACACCCAGTTCCCGCAGCAGCACGCGGCTGAGGGGGAAATCTTCAATACCGTCAGCAGCCCGGAGAACTTCAAAACCAATCTCCGAGATCAGTACCCCATCTCAAAGCTCTTCGAAATCTACGCCGTACGTGCTATCAGCGAGCGTGCCCCAGCCGACCAGTTCCCCGTCACCATCAACTGCTTCACCCCGGGGCTCTGCTACTCCGAGCTGGACCGCGACGGCCCTACCCTCACGTTTAAAATCATGAAGTTTTTCCTGGCACGTTCCACCGAGGCCGGGAGCCGGACGCTGCTTGATGCCGGTGCCAAGGGTGTCGAGTCACATGGCACGTATATCGCGGACTGTCAGATTGCTGAGCCGTCTACGGTGGTGACGAGCGAGGCGGGGAAGACGGCGCAGGAGAGAGTGTGGGGCGAGTTGGTGAGGAAATTGGAGAGGATTGAGGCTGGTTGTACGAGGAATTTCTCGTAGGGGGGTGTCTGGGGTTGTCGAAGTGTCTGTCTGCCTAGGTATCGAATGGTGTCTGGTATGAATATCTGGGCTCGGAGAATGTTGGCGGTTTATCCATGTAGGGGAAGGCGCAAGTGGGACGGCTTGTACGATGTGACGCTATCTCTTTTTTCTCTTTTGGTCTTTTTTGTTTCTTTTGAAGGAAGGTACGCCCGAGGGGCGGGCGACGGGTAGAAGTAATTATTGAGGCAGATCTAGAGGGGTAGAACTCTGGTAGATTAGGAATGCACTGACTCGAGCACACCTGGGATAGAGTGTGCCGTGATGTCTCTAATAACCACCGAATGATAATGCTTTACTTCAATAAACTAGGTACCTGGTGTTTTGTGGTGTTGTGTCACTCGCTTAATGCCCCATTGTTCAGAAGCTGACAAATCGACTTTAACCCTCAAACTCTTCAACTTGTAAATAAACATCGGCTCTAATTCGCAATGCTTTCAACACTGAGCTTTTTTACCATTTCGATCAGTCTGTAGTTTGAGACACCATTCGTGCATCCAAGCCGGGAATCCGAGGAATCCGAGTTGTTAAAGGGTTCGGAACCAAGCCCAAAAACGAACACCTAATACCACGGACGTCCACGACGGATATAAATATCAAATCAAAGTCGTGTTCTTTACTCTATGCTGCATTCGCCGACTATATCAAGTTTAAATGAAAAGAATATCAAAGAAACAACAGAATAACGCCACAATGTCGTTCGGAACGATTTACACGCACAACGCAAGTTCCCCCTTCCCAACTTACGAATTAATTACCCCTGAATCGTGCACAGAAAGCCAGACCACAACTAACATGCTCCCTAGCCCACCCCTCGGACAACCGCCATCTTGGCCATCGCAAAACTCCACGGTCTTCAGCTAGACGTGGTTTTTGCTGACAAACAAGACACAGAAAACTACGCCAAGCTTCTTGAAATCAACCCCCTTGGCCAAGTGCCGACATTCGTGGGCGCTGACGGCTTCGTGTTAACCGAGTGCATTCCCATTACCCTGTACCGTAGGACCCCCCTAATTGTGTCACACTCTAGACACTACATTCGCCTCTGCACAAGAACCTAGGTTAACGAACGGTGAAACCCAAAGTCGCCTCTCAAAGCAAAACCACCACCCTCCTCGGCGCCACTCGCCACGACGAATTCCTCATCCTCAAATGGATGTCCCTCCTCAACTCCAACACGCTCCCCGCTGCCGCCGGGGTGATTTTGCCACTTACCGGCGTCCCACTTGCCGTGCGCAAGAATGTCCAAGACTGCCTGCGCGCATTTTACAAGGATTGTCGGCTCCTTGAGGACCACTTGAGTTCTTCCGACGCGACGTCTGCCGGGGCCGGTGCGAGGAAGTACTTTGTGGGGGAGCAGCTGACGGTGGCGGACTTGTTTGCCGCGGGGGTTGTTCAGTTTGTGGCGACGGTGTTTCACCGGGTGTTGAAGGCTGAGTATCCTCGGCTGTGGGAGTGGTTTTGTCGGGTGTATGAGACACCGGTGTTTAGGGAGGTAGCGGGAGAGTTGGTGTTGTTGGATCTGCCAGTCCCTGAACTGGAGTAGGGGAGTTCGGTGTTGTTGAGGCTTAGGGCCGTGCTCGGAAATCATAGAACGTTACCGTAATTCTCAACTTTCTCGGCGCGAATATTTCCGGAAGAACTACTTCACCAATAGTGGGAGGTTGAGTGTTTTGGAGTTCGCGAGGTAATCATCCTTTAACACTAAACTGGAGTGACACAATATGATTTGAAGAACTTAGACGTTTGCCATATATAACCCTAAGGGTTAGGTATGTAAGTGGTTGTAAGGGGGAGTGTCCGAAAGACAGGAGGTCTATTCAGAGGCCTGGCTCTTGACAATTCAGACAACAACTCAGTCGCAGGAAGAAGGCATAGGGGCACAGCCAGGGGCTTTCCATTGCAGCAGGACTCCGAGAAAGTCGAGCTAAAAGGACCGATAAGTGGCACGAAATCTGAATCTACACAAATATCTCCTGATCATCCGAGTCATCCTCCAGATCGTCATTTGCCATCAGTGCTGTTCTCTCCCTGATCAAGCGCGTCCCGCTGAAGCTTTTCGGTGACAGTCACGTCGTCGACGTCGTAAAGCCACCTTGTCAACATCGAGGTGGCATTGTTTGATACGAGAAGGGGGTGGGACTTGGTGGAACCACAGTTGATGTGTGATTTCTCGGGGACTCTAGTGTTTTTAGGGAGTCGTCAGTATCCGGGTATACAGCTGGAGTGACAAGAAAGGGGAAGCAATAATAATACCCACCGTGTCGTGGTTCCGGTAGAAGATCGAGGAGCTTGGACTTCTGTGGAGCCGATGGAGGGAGGCGACTTGGTGGACATATTCGTCAGATATAGCTGAGAGCACTGGGAATAAAGATTGTGGTGGAACTGGGCCTGTAGGTTTGGTATGTATGGATATTGCTCACACAGAAAAAGGTGTTGCGAAATACGAGGGCGTAAGAGGTTAACAGCACCGACTTATATATACCTAATTTTGAGCAGCCAGCAATGCCGGCTTCCTACTCAATCATTACTCCTTTCCATAACTGTCGAACTCCTGTCCAGTGTCAAATTTCCTCCACGCCAAGGCCCAGGGTGTTGTATTTTTGTTCTGGGAGGAATCGAGGTACGTACCGACAGAAGTTCGCTAGGCTGCTCCGGTCTCCGAGGTACGTACCGTATGTATAAGCTTCTGTCTACACCAAGGTACCACGGTGTTCTTGACTCTTGGCGGAATCGAGGTACGTACCGTACAAGCGTGACATTTCGATACTTGAGCCGGCCGCTCCATGTGCATCGATGTAGAACTTCTCACAACACCATGTCGTCGCCACCGAGCAATTAGCGCGCAATCGCTGTATAATTTTGTTGTGCGTCACACGCTTTCGCCCATTCGGTGCCTTGCCCTGATTATGTTCGACTCTCATCTTCTTGCCAATCTCTTAATTAAGTCCTGTCCACCAGAAAACGATTGTTCCAGCCAGCTTCTTTGGACTGCGCGTCACCATTTGCTACATCTCTGCTGGGTCTTCCTCCACGGACAGGGTGCTGTGTCGAAGTCTGAGACGGAAAGATGCAGGCCAAGAAAGGCTGACAAACTTGCCCCTGGTTTGCGACAAAAGTTCGGCTCTTTCGGGCGCCAGTGTGAACGGTAAACCGATTATACTGATTGTGTAGCTGTGCAGGGGGGCAGACAGAAGTACGACCAAAGTTCGGCCTCTTTCGGGCGCCAGTGTGAACGGTAAACCAATCATACTGATTGTGAGGCTGCAGGGGGGCAGACAAAAGTACGACCAAAGTTCACCGAATGGAAAGTGGGGTGCGGCTTGCGGCCACTGAGACTCTCTGACTCGGTGGCTGAGTTCAAGGTTGCCTTTGCTGCATAAGACGTTCGTGGTCCGCGTGAAATGCCCGAGGGAGGGTGGTCAAAATGAAGCCTTCACGCATCCTGTTTGCCTTCTTGTCCACATCCTGTTTGCCTTCTTGTCCACATCATTTCGGCATTACCTCACCAACAATCTTCACTCCAACATTAGACCATAGACATGCCCCCAGACACGGCCGGGGAGGACACTCCGCTTGATTGGGGTAAGCATGAGGGCGAAATCATGGACCTGTTGGTGGGCGGCAACGGCAGAACGCTGAAGCAGGTGATGGAACATATGAGGACAAAATACAATTTTAATCCAAGGTACGCCCCATTATGAAGCTACCTGGGTTACTGGGTAGTTGAGCGGCGCCGGATATCACCAGCCACTGATTAATGGGTCTCCACAGTGAGAGTCAATACAAGCGTCACTTCAGCAGTCTCAAGAAGAATGTGACAGGTGAAGAGTGGCTGTATATTGAGCAGCAATGTGAACGTCGCGACGCACTTGGAAAGCAAACGAAGGTCTATCTTGATCACCGGCAGTTGTCATCAGAGCGTGTAGCTCTCGCTCGTCGTCGCATACGGAGGAGGAAACTGAAACATCGAATTTCGCAGCCGATTTCAAACAGTGAGTGATCGAGCACACCATTTGAGCCTATGCGATCGCTTACAGACCCAAAGTGCAACAGCACAATCAGTATGCATCGAGGTTCACCTTCCGAACACCATCGCCGGTAACTGTCGGCGGTCAGATTCAGATCCCCGGCCCAGCTCAAGGCCATAGGCAAGGAGAAAATTTAGCAGAGCACAATGTCAACTTGCGGATGCCCTCCCGATTGACTCACCAAGCTGGGGTAACTCCAAGTCCTCATTTAGCTCCGATGTCCAGTCAAGCACTCAAAAGTCCTACGACAGCATGTGTACAGCGAACATTTGAAGATCGACCATCCAGCGTGTCGGTGAGACGTGAAACATCCTTTGATTTACCTGGAGCCACCAACACAGAGCCCATACGCGGATTCTTCGAGTTTAATCATGTGGACATGGCGGTTGAGTCTGTCCCAGGTGTTGAAGCTGGTATGTACGAGCCTGACAAGAGTTGGAGTTGTGTACCTAGTTAACTGAGGAACGAAGGACCAGTTACCTCTATGGGTTTACACACTGGTAACTACTCACAGGTTGAAACCACGGCAGTGTCCGGGGTTATCAACCACTGGGAAAGAAGCCACAGGCATCTCGGCTCTGCCTCAATCAGAGCAGGTCCATCCTTACCCGATGACCGTGTCGAATCTAACTTTGACTCGCTCGACACCCGGTTGGGTTGTGGCCTACTGAAGAATCTGCCTTTCTTCGAGCTTCTTTTCACCATAGAGCAGCCTGGTACAGATCCCCCAACCATTGTCCATCCAAATATTGTGTTGCTAATCACAGCCTGCATAGGTTATGATCTGAAGAGACATCTTCCACCAAGTAGAATCACCCCATCTTCGCCAGCTACGTCCGCTAGCTTCCGAGCGGTGGCACGGAAATTGCTCTCTAAGCCCCTTGACCCTCTAACAGAACTTCAGTCAGTAGCCAGTGTTGCTGAAATCTCCTCCCAGCTTCAGCAACTGGTTCCGGAACGACATGAGGGAGATCTCCTGCAACAACTGGGATGGATTCTGGATTCCTCCCTGCCAGTTTCCGAAACACTCCCGTCACTTTTTGCCCTGGCCGCTTTCTTCGCATCCAACAACCTCCTGCATAGCAGTCGAATAGACGCCTTTCTCAAATGGATCGTCGACCATGAATACACAGATTTACTGGAAGGATTCATGAAGATCCAGACTCCTACGATTCACTCTTTCGCTAAGGTCGTCGCGGAGTCGGCTATTCGAATCAAGAATTTCCAGGTGCTCGAAGCACTCCACAAGTACGGCGTCAAACTCGATACCATGCTGTACGAGATAGCCTCCATCGGTGCCGCTAGCCTCACTCGACGAATTCTATCCAACGCAGACCCGGTGCGCTTGAGAAACACGGAGTTGGGAGCGAAGCTCCTTAACTCTTTTGTTTCCGATCAACAGTATGATCTCGCGCGATCCCTTTTAACGGTCGGGGTCTCTGTGGATGCGTCCTCCAACACCTGGAACCAGTATCCTGAAACTGCGCTCTACGAAGCGGTGGTGAGAAAGGACATTGCAGGGGTCAAGTTTCTTCTCGAGGCGGGCGCGTCCGTGAACTTGTACTATCGTCTCATGAGGCATACCACCTCTTTCTTCGGATCGCCTCACACTGTACTCGGACGCGCTGTCGATCTAGGACATGAAGAAATGGTTGTTCTCCTTCTGGAGTACGAAGCCGACATGTTCTTGGAGTTTGGCACGATGCCTCTGCTGAAATGGGCTGCATTGCATTGCCGGAGCATGTTTGAGATCTTGAAGGAAAAGGCGGAGCCGGGATCGATAGGGCCCTTGCTTGGGGATGTGGTGGACGCCGCGAACCATGGCAGTCATGCTCTTGCAGTCTACATCACTGATAGACAGGAAGGAGCGACGCCATGCCTCCTGGAGGAAGCTCTCGAGGAATGCATCCTTGGCAACCACTTGATGGCGGCAACCGCACTGCTCGAACATGGGGTTAATCCAAACGGCCCAACCCGCTGGGCTCGCCCACTCGCGATGGCCTTGGACATATACCGAATCGACCATGGGTTTGTTGAGCTACTTCTCGAATATGACGCAGATGTTACATATCCCGGCCTCCTTGAGAAACTTGCTGGGATCGGAAGACCAGACCTTTTGAAGAGGGTTCTCACGCACCCGGTTGATTTGAAGGAAAGAATGAAAGCGCTGGTTGCTGCATGTTCTGGAACTATTGCCTCAGTAGCCACGATCCTAGATTCTGGTGTGGACATCAACACGCCCTTGCTGCGTCAGAAGAACCCACTTCAAACAGCTGCCAGTCAGGGAGATCTGAACTTAGTTCTATTTCTAATCCAGAGAGGATCAAACGTCAACGCGCCAGCTGATCCATACGATGGGCGAACCGCGTTACAAGAAGCACTCCAGACCAGAAATCCCGTCGACTTGGCCAAGATGTTGCTGCATCATGGGGCTGATGCCTCCGCCCCCCCCGCAATGTTAGGTGGCTTGACGGCCCTCGAGGCGTTTTGCCACAATACCAACGCTGCGGGCAGTCCAGAATTTTGCGAAACTCTTTTGGCCGCCGGTGCTACCGTCAACCGCCCTTGCGGCAAGCCAAGCTCGGTACTTCACGGAGTTATCAAGAGAGGATGGCACGAAGTCTTAAGGCACTTCCTTGAGCCACCACACAACGGAATCATCGATTACATGTGGTGCGAACCGGTATCAGATATTATTGATTACCCGTCGCCATACACACCGACCCAACTAGCAGCCTCTCTTGGGGACCTGACAGCGCTAAAAATCCTCTTGGACCACGGAGCCGATGTCAACGAAGCCCCGGCACGCCGGCTTGGGCGTACTGCTTTCCAAGCGGCTTCGTTGCTGCCGCCCGGAGCAGCAAAGACCGCGGTCATCGAATTTCTTCTCGAGCGCAACGCCAACACCAACGCGAATGCGGCGTTTCGACGTGGGATCACAGCACTTCGAGGTGCTGCCATAGCGGGAGATTTCATGCTTGCCAAACTGTTGATAACCCGCGGCGCGAAAGTCAACGCAATACCTGAGCCCACGCACGGCCTGACCACAATCGAGGCGGCGGCTAAACATGGCCGCCTGGATATGGTCCAACTGCTGCTCAATGCTGGGGCGGTAGGCGACGTCAGGCGGGGGCGGCGGGGCTTCAAACCCGCAATCCAGTTGGCAGAGAAAAACGGCCACTATGCCGTGGCCAAGCTTTTGAAGATGCAAGATGGAACAGGCTCACAATAGGTAGTTGCGGTGGTCGGGCGCCGAGTTTGATACAGTTCCATGTCTTTCTTGAGTTAGGTGACTAAGATCTTCAACAGGGAGAATTCTTCCAGGATCGCTAATTGTTTAGTATTTTTCCATTTCTGAAAGCACCCAGTCTCACTACAGGCAACTATTGTCCAACAGAGGCTGTAGGATGCCTTTCGTGAAGTGCTGATGCGAGCATCGGCTCAACATCGAACACAGTAGTCGGTGTGCTGTCAGCGGTCGCCGGTTGCCATGGCACTTCCATCTCGCCCGTGACACGCAACAACTTGTAAATTGGAAACCATTGACGAGCTGAAGAGCCGGAACGCTACAGACGACAAGCGCCGGTTAGTTTGGCCACTGCAATTCCGCCTCGACCATCAACTTCCTGGGCTTCCCCCTGCCAAGAGCTGCTAGAAGCCCAGCAGACAAGCCATCACGACTGGGATCTCGCAGAGCTCGCGTGATGTTGGGGGGCTGAGTTTTCAGGTGCACTGAAGACATACTAGTCCTTGGTATTTGGTTTTTTTTTTTTTTTCTTTTCTTTTTTTGGGGGAGGGGGGGGGGTGGGGGCGGTAGTGGTTGTGATTAAACAAACATCGGCCAGGGGTCCATAGAGTGGAAATAAATTACATACCTAACATTACATATTCAGCGGATTCATTTGGCGTTGCCGACCCCGGTAATTAATCGCTGGCGTATGCACGTAGTTACATCATTCGTATCGTAACCCAACGCGAGACTCCACGAGAGCAACTTACCGAACCCAACATCATGATGCGGTACGCGGTACATCCGCCATTCAGTTAGAGTCCTTCCCTCAATTGTTCGGATTTTTGTTTCTGGAATTTCCACCCTTCAAAGGTTACACACGGAGCAGAACCCCTAACCACAGCCAATGGCTTATCTGCCTCGCGATGAGCCCTCATGCACGTGCAGGCGCAGCAAACGCATTTTGGTGGCCAGCCCAGCTGGCCCAGCTGAGCCTCATCGCCCCCTCAACCTCATTGGACTCGACAATTCCATTCTTCCCGGCTTCACCGCCGTTACATTTCTAACAAGCAGCCCGCTCTAATGAAGACGGCTCCTCCGACACTGAAAGACTCGACGGCGTAACAGGATAGCGCAGGATCACGATCTATTCGATGCACTAAAGAGTGGAAATGGCGACCCGGGTCAACGAGAAGGGTTTCACGGTGCTGTATGAAGCTCCGCAGGCAGCGGTCGAGTATGTCTTGTGTCACCGCTCAGTTATGCCTCTGATGTCGAGTGTTCTAGCGCGTGCAACAATCCAACAGCCAACTGACGCCTCTTAGTCTCGTGTTTGTCCATGGATTTACTGGGCACCCCAAGGACACTTGGACGCTCAAGCTCAAAAAGCAACGCAAGAATTCGGCAAAGCGGCATGGCGAAGACGATGAGGTCGGAGATGGAGCGAGGCCTTCCAAGAGGTTGAGAATGCCATCTTTCGGCCGACGCCCATCAACCCTCCACTCCACAGTGGCATCGGCCCCAGCATCCCCAGGTTCCAGCCGCACACCGACGGTGGACGGCACAAATGGCAGAGCCCAAGCCGGATCTGAAGGGCAACGACCGAAAGAGGTCTACTGGCCGGCAGACCTCGCTTGCCAGACAATCCCCAACTCCCGGATCCTGACTTACGGGTACGACACCAATGTTCGGCACTGGTTCCAGGGCCCAGTGAGCAAGAAAACGATTTATGACCATGCTTGGGACATGCTCTACTCCCTCGAGGCTTTTCGAAGAGACCCAAACGAGGAACGCCGACCCATAGTTTTCATCGCCCACAGTCTTGGTGGTATCGTAGTAAAGGAAGCCCTTCGGAGCGCCCAAGCGTGTCAGCCATTGAAGCCTCATATCTACGGTATACTCAAAGCCACGTCATCAATCATCTTCTTCGGCACTCCGCACGGTGGGGCAGATCCCCGAAACGTCTTCCACCATATCCTTGCTGCTTCATATCAGGCGTGCGGCGGTCAAGTCAACCCGCAGATCGTCAATGCGCTCATGCCGGATTCCGAACGCCTAAAAGAACTGAGAGAAGAGTTTCCGGTCATATGTCAAGCACAAGGCTGGGCGCTTTATTCATTTCAAGAGGAATACGGCGTCAAGGCCCTCTTCGGAACCACTGTGGTGAAGGACCAGTCTTCTTGTCTTAACATTCCCACCCTCGAGACACGCCAGTTCATTTCAAGCGATCACATGGACATGTGCCGCTTCCACGGGCTCCAAGACCCCGAATACATCAAGGTTGCGGCCGCCATGGCGCGCATTATGGAGACGATTGAAGCGAGATCCCAAGCTACACCTGCTACAGACTCGGAACGCATCAATCGCGGACTCCCTGTCGTCGAAAACGAACACCTTCCTCCGGGACAAGAAACTCGATACAAGGGCTGGAGGGCCGCCGAGTCCATCACCCAGGAGACCAAGTCGGCGCTTATCGAGCAGCTTTACTTCACCAAAATCGATGAGCGCTTGACAAATCTCACGACCGCCCAGGGAAAGACCTGCCGCTGGTTTCTTAGCAAGCCAGAATACACATCCTGGCGCAATCCCGCCAACCAGCCCGACAACGGTGGCTTCCTCTGGATTAGGGGCAACCCTGGCACTGGGAAGTCTATCTTGATGAAGCTCCTCTTCGAAGATGTGAAGTCAAAAATAAAGCACGATCCTTCACAAATTGTTCTCTCTTTCTTTTTCCTCGCACGGGGTGAGCTCGACGAGAAGTCGACTCCGGGGTTGTACCGCTCTCTTCTTCACCAGCTATTTCAGATGGCACCAGACCTGAAAGACAGTCTGGAGTGGATGACGGCCGATGGCGCGAGGGGGATCCAAACTAATGGCTGGAATGAAGAGGCGCTGAAACGGACGCTCCACCATGCCATTCTTAAGCTTGGGAGTCGGCGGTTGACCATATTTGTTGATGCCCTGGACGAATGCGACGACAACCAAGCGAAAGAGATGGTTTTCTTTTTTGAGGAGCTCTGTGATTCGGCGCAGGATTCGCAGGTTCGGCTAGGTAACTGGGTATTCTAGAATTCCGCAACGAAAGTAGTCTTGCTGACCCGGCCATTTTCTATAGATATCTGCTTTTCGAGCCGGCACTATCCGCTTATCACTATCAAGAAGGGCACCGAGTTGACGCTGGAAGACGAAGTCGGGCACAAGGAGGACATTCAATCCTACATCAAGGCAAAACTCAGACTGAAAAACACCAAAGCCGCCCAAACGCTCCAAGCCGAAATCCTCGAGAAATCCTCACTGATTTTTCTCTGGGTCGCCCTCGTTGTCGACATCCTCAACTCGGAGTACCCGGGCAAGCCCATTGAAAAGATGCGCCAGCGTCTTAAGGAAATTCCCCCGAAGTTGGCCGACCTGTTCGAGATGATTCTCACCCGAGACGAGGAAGATCCGAAGCTGCTGAAGATCTGCCTGCAATGGATCCTCTTTGCGACCCGTCCCCTGAAACCTCAGGAGCTCTACTTCGCCGTCCAGTTTGGCCTCAAGGAAGGGCCCTGTTCCGGACGGTGGGACCCAGAAACTGTGGACTTGGATGAGATGAAGGCTTTTGTAAGACACTCCTCCAAGGGCCTGGCAGGGGTCACGCGGGGCAAATCGTCCGAGGTCCAGTTTATCCATGAGTCGGTCCGTGACTTCTTGCTGGGAAAATCCGGAGCCAGTCAGTGGTCCGGGGCTATTTTCAGTGGCAACTTCGAGGGGCAGAGCCACGAAGTGTTGAGGGATTGTTGTTTGGCCCAGCTCGAAACAGATATGGATCTTGAGCTATCGGGGAGTCATCCTTCGGAAGAGAGTTTTGAAGTTGCACAAACACAGCTTCGCGCGGACCTTCCCTTGAGGTTCCCGCTTCTCGAATATTCCCTGCGCAACATCCTCCAGCATGCCAACAGTGCCCAGCGACATGGGGTAGGGCAGCGGGCATTCCTCGACAGATTTCCTCTCCAGAAGTGGGCAACTGTCCACGACGTCCTCGAGAAGCACGCCGTCCGGCAGTATTCGCGATCAGTAAACCTCCGTTACATCCTGGCACAGAAGAACTTAGCCGAGCTCATCAAAATACAGCCTCAAAAGCAGTCATGTTTCGATGTTGTAGCCGGGGTACGCTATGGGCCGCCAATTTTTGCTGCGCTAGCCACCGGGAGTACCGAAGCTGTTTGGGCGCTGCTAGAAGCCGAAGTGGAAGCCCAGCCAGTTGAGTCTCAGGGCCGCCTTCGGGAACATTGCAAGCTGGGCTTCCAAAGCCGAAAGCAACTCGGAAATCTTGGCGGCCTCAGCTTCGTATTCGCGAAGACGAAGGGGGTGATCGGTCACCTCGCAGAGCACGGCCACGAGCTCCTCGATGTCCCCTGGCTAGACCTATTATGTCGCATTGATCCCTTCTTCGAGCGCCGAACGGCGCTATTGTGCGCAGTCCGCGGCGGCCACACAGCCGCTGTGGAGACACTGTTTCGGATGGGTGCCGAGATCGATCACGTAGATAGGAATGGCCAGACGCCGCTGTTATTGGCTGCCCGGAATGGTCACGACGCTATGGTCAAGCTACTGCTTGACACAGGCAAAGTTGATATCGATTCGAGAGATAATATTGGCCAGATACCGCTGTTCTGGGCTGCCCAGAATGGTCACGACGCCTTGGTTAAGCTACTGCTTGACACAGGCAAAGTTGATATCGATTCGAGAGATAAGAATGGCCAGACACCGCTGTTCTGGGCTGCCCGGAATGGTCACGATGCTGTGGTCAAGCTACTGCTTGATATGGGCAAAGTTGATATCGATTGGAGAGATAATGGCGGCCGGACACCGCTGTCCTGGGCTGTCCAGAATGGTCACGACGCTATGGCCAAGCTACTGCTTAACACAGGCAAAGTTGATATCGATTCGAGAGATAATGGCGGCCGGACACCGCTGTCCTGGGCTGCCCAGAATGGTCACGACGCTGTGGTCAAGCTACTGCTTGATACAGGCAAAGTTGATATCGATTCGAGAGATAATGGCGGCCGGACACCGCTGTCCTGGGCTGTCCAGAATGGTCACGAC